GCACCCACGATCATGTAGAGCTGTTGGTTTCATTGGAGCAAAGACAACTGCATCCACATAGCAAAGGGCTGCAGTCAAAACTTAGACCAAGAAAATCATCTCCGCAGACATATTCTGGCAGTATTCCAGACAACCCTGTCCCTGCCACCATCAAAAAATCCAAGCTTGTCAGGTTTTGGGGGATTGTGCCAGTCAGGAATGTGCTGTTCGACAACGACAAGTAGTAAATATTTGGGCTGAGCCCTTCAGGGAGAGAGCCAGACAGAAGAGAGTTTTCCAGAAATAGCATGGTCAATGGCGCATTCGCCAACTCAGATGGTATTGTTCCGGTTAGGTTGGTATTGCCCAAAGACAAAGCTTCCAGGTTGATGTTTTGGCCAATTTCACTCGGAACTGATCCTGTGAGACTGTTGCCATCTGCCCCAAAGCCCAGTCTCAAGTTCGTTAGGAGGCCAATCTCGGTGGGAATAGTTCCAGTGAAGGTGCAGGAATTCAACCCAAGGAAATCGACAGCAGAGAGCTGACCAATCTCTGTAGGGATGGTGCCGGTAAAGCTGGAGAAATAGAGATTCACAATTGCAACATCAGTCAAAAATCCAATCTGCGATGGTATCTCTCCGGAGAAACCATTAAAAGCAAGAGACAGATAGGTGAGATTGCTCAGCAACCCAATTTCCGTAGGTATGGTTCCTGTGAGTTGATTCTGCCCCAAAGCAAGAGTGTTCAAGGGGAGATGCCAAATAGATTCTGGTATAGTCCCAGATAAAAAGTTCCCAATGAACACTAGGGAATCCAAACTGGTGGCATCCCCCAGTTCCTCTGGTAAGGCTCCTGTGATCATGTTTCCATCCACGGAGAATTCTTCGAACTTTTGCAGCAGCCCAAGCTCCGAGGGAACTGTGCCTTCAAGTTGAGCTTTGATGGCAGAAAATATAGAGAGGGTGTCAGAAAGAAGTCCCAACTCTGTAGGGATTGGTCCAGATATCATTGTGACGTCGATGTAGAACAATTCCAACTGCCTCAACTTCCCAATATGGGAAGATATAGTTCTGGTGAGATCACTATTCTTGGAAATGGAAATTGTCTTGAGGTCTGTTAACCAGAACAGTTCTAGTGGCAAGGTGCCTTGCAGAGCATTGGAATGGAGCAAGATGTGTTGATAAGGGTCGTATTCCATGTGGACAGCTTGGTTGGAGCTGTTGAGCGAGTTGGATGGGATCTCACAGGGAGTGCAATCCTCCTTTCTGATGCACTCTTGAGAGAATCAAAAACACTCGTGAACTGATTGATTCAACCACTTCTCATTTTCATACCAGTCATTCCCACCTGTAGCATAAAAGAGAGTGGCCAGGGCATACCTTTGCCTGATCCTGCTGGCGTGTGTGTAGTTGTTTTCTTCCAAGTCTTCCAGTATCCACCCATAGGCAAGGGACTGGGGAGAGTTGGGATCCTCCAGTGCTTCCAGAGTATGATTGGACAAAGCTTCCAAAACTAGGAGCTCCACACCAGACAAGTTTTGGGTGTTTTCTGGGAGCCGTGGCGAGTAGGTGGGTGAATCAGATACACTGTTGTTGGTGACCTTGTCGTTTCTACTATATTTGACCAGCACAGTCACCATAATGACAACGGCGGCAACACAGCCACCGTACAATAATGTGCGCAGGATGAGTGATTGCTTGTTCATTTCTGCTCTGTCCTTATACTGTCCAGTAGGAGCCAAATCCGCTACGGGTAGGTCAAAGTTGTCAGATACTTCGATGGCCACGGGAAGGCCATCCTCAAGGGTACCTGGGGCTTGTTCTGGTGGAATCGACGCATCAAGGTCTAGGTCTGGGTCTGCATCTGTATCCGTGTCTGCGCCGACTGGGGTCGTAGAAAATCCAAGCGGTTCTCCGGGAGTCACTGTGTGCGTCCCTATAGGCGTTTCGTCTGGTTCTTCCTGGTGTTGGGTTCCAGTTCCTGTTTGTGTTTCTTTGTCTGTGTCTGCCTTATTGTATTGGACGCCAGCAACTGCTGCACGCTTGATTTCGGCATCTTGTCTGCCACATCGGAGGCCCGGACTAGAATATGCCACACTGTGATGCGAAGTAGAATGAATTGGTACATCACCCAGTTCATCTTCCGTAGTCATGCTCATCTGTCGGAGCCCAGCTGCTGCTGCAACTTTGATTTTGGCATCTTCTTGGCCACATCCAAGGCCAGGACTGGAAGATGCCACACTGTGGACGGAAGTAGAATCCATTGGCACAGCTCCCGGTTCCATGTCCACATTCATGCTATTCTGGTGAGTGCCTGTTACTGCTGCACGCTTGATTTCGGCATCTTGTCTGCCCCGTCGGAGGCCGGGACTGGCACTGTGAAGAGAACTAGAATCTATTGGTACAGCTCCCGGTTTGATGTCTGCAGTCGTGCTAATCCGTCGGAGCCCAGCTGCTGCTTGTTGTTTGATTTCGGCATCTTGTTTGCTTTGTCCAAGGCTAGGACTGGAAGATGCCACGCTGCGGAGGGAAGTAGAATCCATTGGTACAGCTCCAGGTTTCACATCCACAGTCCTGCTATTCAGGTGGGTACCCGTTACTGCTGCACGCTTGATTTCAGCATCTTCTTGGCCGCGCCCGAGGCCGAGGCCAGGGCTGGAAGATGCCACACTGTGGAAGGAAGTAGAATCCATGGGTACAGCTCCCGGGTTTGATGTCTGCAGTCGTGCTAATCCGTCGGAGCCCAGCTGCTGCTTGTTGTTTGATTTTGGCATCTTGCTTGCTGCGTCCGAGGCCAGGACTGGAAGATGCCACACTGTGGAGGAAAGTAGAATCCATTGGTACAGCTCCAGGTTTCACATCCACAGTCCTGCTATTCAGGTGGGTACCCGTTACTGCTGTGCGCTTGATTTCACCATCTTTTTGGCCGCGTCCGAGGCCGAGGCCAGGGCTGGAAGATGCCACACTGTGGAAGGAAGCAGAATCCATGGATACAGCTCCCGGTTTGATGTCTGCAGTCATGCTAATCCGTCGGAGCCCAGCTGCGGCTGCTTGTTTGATTTTGGCATCCTGCTTGCTGCGTCCCATGCCAGGATTGGAAGATGCCACACTGTGGAGAGAAGTAGAATCCATTGGTACAGGTCCCGATTCCATGTCCACAGTCCTGCTCTTCTGGTGGGTGCCGGTTGCTGCTGTGCGTTTGATTTCGGCATCTTGCTTTCCGCGTCCAAAGCCAAGACTAGAAGAATCAATTGACACGGCACCTACTCGATTCTCTGCACCCATCTTGTTGCTTTCCTTGATACCCATAGCAGCTGATAGTTTGACTACCATGTCTTCTTTGCTGTGATGAAGGCCATGCCGAGATACAGCCCTGTTGGAGGAAGAATCTGTTTGTCGTGGAGTTTCACTCGACTGGTTGCGACAGTGTCTCTGTCCCTGTGTTGCCGTCGATGTGACGGTGGCAACAAACTTCTCTTCAGCTTCTTGCTCTTGCTCTTGTCGTTCTGTCTCCTTCTTACTCTTCATGGTGCTATGTCTATCTATCTGATACCTCGGACGAAAGAGAGCTGAATGATTGAAAGAATGATTCGATTCTGTTGTTGTGGGGTCGACGGCTAGCTGGTACTTGGTACCACTCGCTAGCTAGCAGTACCACCGGTACTTGGCAAATCAGGTGCAAAATCACTGAACACGATGACGGTTGCGGCCTCTATGGCTTGGTTGGTACATGTAATTACTGCCGTACTTCCGGGACGATTCCGGAATTCTATAGAACAACCGGAAAGGTAACCGTAAAGAGTCTGTGGCGTGTGGCATGGCTTTGAAAAAAAGAGTCGAGTGACGAGTCCCATGACATTATTACCTTGGTGCCGTGCTCCCTCTACTAGTAGCTAGTACCGGCAGGGAGTATCGTTGACAATGACATTGTGTGGTACGTACTACCTAGTACTCCGGAGGAGACGTTTTTAAGCAAACTTCACGTGACTTACTTTTTACGGTAATGGTCGATGTCTGATCGGGACATAATGGATGGATGTGTTTTTAATTAAGGTGGTTCCGTCCAGGATGTAATCCAGCTTTAATCTGGTAATAAAACGGACGTATGAAACATACCATTTGTTCGCATATCTTTCGCATATGTACGGAATACGGAATTTCGAAATTCGTAGTCCATATCTTTAGCCAAATTCTATCTTCGAGTGCCAAATTTTACCTTCAGCGCACCTCGACTCTAAGTCTTTCATCCGTGCCGCGCATGCCGACACTCTGAAACTGAAAAGAACGAATCCAGCATTGGAAGATTGTATTCTCTTGCCGCCAAACAACAAAAGGCGCAGCTGTCAATTATCCGTACAGTAGCATAAACTCGAGCGCAACCACAACCGTGAGAGGATGCCGCTGCCTACTCCTTCGCCATACTGGAAGCCATCTTCTAGCATTGAACATTCCAAGCTACTACATGCAGAAGGAGGGAGGAATCTTCCTGGAACCAACACTGATTTGTCTGCTACTCCTGGCATTGGAATTGGCACTAGGAACGGTGGCACTGGTAGAAACAAACATCAGAAGAAGAGGTTGTTTGAGGAAGATTTGCATGCAGATGAAGCTGCAGAAGCTGTTACTACTGATGAGGCAGAAGAGGCTACCAGTGAAGAAGAAGACAAGGAGCTTACCGCCACTGAATTCAACACCAAAGCAAGCAGCCGCCTACTGTTGGAGACGAGCCAAGTCGAAAAGATTGTTGCTGATTTTGCCAAATGCCCTGATTGCGACCTTAATGGTGAGCCGATGCCGTTGATCATGACCGTCCACAACTGCGGCATTGTGTCACAAATTAGACTTAGATGCGCCAACGAAGAATGCGACTATGTCTACGGCTTACCGATTCCCGCAAAGACAACAATGCATAACGACAAGAAATATGAGAGGAGCACCGATTATGAGCTCAATCTAGTATTCGTTCTTGGGAATATTGCGAATGGTGACGGTGGAGTGGAAGCCGGCAAACTGCTTGGATTGATGGGGCTACCAAATGATACGACAATGTCTAGTCGAACCTTTCCCACGATAGAGCGACGGATTGGTCCCATCTTGCGGGAATTGAGGGATGAAATCCTGATGGAAAACCTGAATGAGGAAGTCAGGCGATCAACAACAGAGGAAGATTATTTGGCGTGGAAGCTGTCACTCACCGAGCAGCACAAAGACCATCCCGTCAAGATCAAATTGAAGGGATCGTACAACGGCGCTTGGCCTTCTCTACAATTCATCGTCTGGCCACGCTAGTTTGGTGGGTGCCATGACTCGACAGGTCGTTGCTTTCGGTCAAAAGAGCAAAAAGTGTGGCAAGTGCGAAAAGCACGAAAAGGATCACCCTAACGCCGATACCCGACCTGACTACCCCGAGCACTATTGTTCCCGCAACCACGATCCAAACGATTCTTCTGGTGCCATGGAAGCGGCTTTGGCCTTGGAAATCGTGATTGATCTATATGACAACAAAGGCATTATTCTGGAGCTCCTTTGCTGTGACGATGACTCGTCCATTCGGGCTGATTTTAAGTGGTCGAACAAAGACTATCTAATCAACAATAACACTACCGTTCTACCGCAGGTTCCAAAGACGAAAGGAAAGAATAAGGGTGAATTGCAAGATCGTCCGGACAAAGGGAAACTTCCTGGCCATATTCCCGAGCCAAAGTTTTGTGCAGATCCCAACCACAAAAAAAAAAATAACGAAGTTTTATTATTTAGGCTGCACCTCAATAGAACACCGCTGAACGGAGCCATATTGAACCGGAGTACCTCAGACGTACAAGGACGCCCACATAGGAACCGGCCTAGTGCAAGCCCCCACCGGAGAAGTTTAAAAACTCCGAGGGTGCTTTGCAGCTAACAAACTACCTTTGGCTGGATTGCCATCTATTCTACGGCAGGACCCCTTCTGTGTGTAGTTACCCTGTGTCATTGTTCTGCATTGTGCGTGCATGCTCGTCCCTGGTGCCTTGTCGACGACGGGCAGCCAATTGGCAAGCCACGATTTGATGTCGCCTGGGCCTTTGCCATTTGCTCGTCAAGCGGTCGCTTGAAGATAAAATCACCAGCTCCGCTGGGATCAGATCCGCTTTCTCGTAGATAGTTCCACTTCCCGCTGAAGTTGTTCGTGCTTCTTCTCACTGGTCTTCCCTGTCTTTGCCATGCCTGGCAGCATTGCGATCCTCCCACAGGTTCCACCACTGCTGGATGAGCAGTGAGGCTAGGTTGGTGACCCAGAGCTGCCCAGTCTTGGTGTCTCCTGGAGCCGACCCGATGCAGATATGCATCTTGATGCTTAGCCCAGTGCTTGGACAAACGTCCTCTCAGGAAGTTGTCCCAGCCAATGAGATTTTGAGTGTCAACGAGGTCCCTATACCTGTCAGGTAATGCCATGGGTGGAGGAATCGATCTTCAAAGTGGTATTGTAGTCCATCCAGAGCAATTTCCAGGAGGAAGGGTCGGTGGAATCCTTGCGCAACTTTGTGCTGATCGCTCGTTGCATGGTCCTCGCCACAAATCCACGTCAACATGTGGGCATCGGTAAAACATGGGTTTCAGTCTCGTGATCACCGCCACAACGGGGACAGTGGTGATCATACTTGGGGTCATCCCGGTGGACCCGTTTCCAACTGGCAACAATTGAATAGAAACTTCACAATTGTCGGTTTGTGGATCTCATGACGGTTACAGCTCGACCATGGGCTGTCCAATCAACCAGTGCAGGGGTGTCCTCGTCTCAGTCGGGGTTCAGTTTGACAATGTGGTCGAACAGGGGCTGTCGTTCCTGAGATGCCGCAGGTTCTGGGAAGCTTGTATGTGCATGTTCCTCTGGGAAGGTGCAGCTGGCCAGGTTTGCCGGAAATCGGAGTACCTTGGAGTGATCCTGTTGGATGTGTCGTTCATGTAACTGCCTGCCAGTTTGTCAGCTCTGCAGTTCAGTTGTGCTTTTAGGGGTAGTGTTTCGATGGCCTTGTGCTTGTCCTGGTGCGATTTGATGTGCTCCATCTTGGGCACAGTGACTGCAGCCGGAACGAATCCTCGATCTGCTGCAAGACATCCCAGTCGGAGTCCAACGAATCATTGGGGTACCATCCTCATACTCGAGACAGCTAGCGCACTTATTCGTCACAGACTCATTGTCGCATAAGTGTACATAATTCTTCATGCTGGTCTGATCGTAGAACTCCAGCAATCGTCGAAGAAGGCAAGTAGGGGATAGAATGCCATAGGCCTCGGCCCTGTATGAAGTCGGAACCATACCAAAAACTGGACCAGAGCACCGAAGCACAATTTGGCCGCGGTTGTCTGCCAGGACCCATGCAAAACTCGCCTTACCGGCTTCAATGTCTGCAGCCCCATCGCTGGCCACCCAGAAGGGCATGGCTGTGACAATCTGCAGGACTGAGTAGGCGTCCACCATCCACTCAAGCTCGTCATAGAGAGCTGTTTCCCAAGGCTCCAAAGTGGCAAGGAAGTCCTCAAATGTTGTCGGTGTGGGTGGTAGTGGACGAGCAGGAATGCCTGCTGTGAAACCACTACCAACTACCACTGTCTCACGCTTGTTGAAGAGGGTCAGGTCTAGGACTCGCCGCTTTCCAGAGTCTGGCTGGACAGAGGTGCAAGATCGGGGGAAGTGGGGATCCAGTGGCACCGAGTTGTGTAGGATGCTGGCGTCCAGGTAGGTCTCATCTCCGAACTCCCAGCGATGAACTGTCCGTTCCTTGTTCGGGACTGGATGTTGGAACATCCAGAATTCGGACTCCTCATTATCAACTTGTTGATAGACGACGTTGGCATCGACTTCGTAGAAGAACCTGTGGCGCATCCGGAGCTTGTCAGCAGAGACAAGCCACCTCCCCAGGGGTACATCCAACGTCAGATTCGGAGCGAAAAGGGATAAGTCTTTCCTCCACAACCACCAAGTCCTGGGATCCCTGGGTCGATCTTGAAATCTCTTGAAGTAGGTGGTGCGAGGCATCAGTGGACTGGAAAAGCCATGCCAGAGCAGATCCCAACCACCGCCGCAAACAGTTGACGGGGGAACTCATTCGTTTGGATTTGGCCAAGGTCGCAGACAAGAAGACAATGACCAGGTTGGATTCCATTCGTCTTGGCAAGAACTACGGATACATGGCTCGCACACTCAAAGACCGCGATGAATCCGAGTATGTGGATGTCGCCTGGGCCTGTTTGGAGCACCACTTTGATACGCACGACAAATGCGGTGCTTGGTGCGCTCGGTGTAAGGCAACAAAAGAGGTGCTAATTGCGAGCAAGAAGTATTACCGCGACAAGAAAGAAGATGCTGAACTTTACGAGCTACTACGGAAGAAAATGGGGCGCTACTGTGAGCTTGAGCGATTGCGAGAGATTGCCCACGGCTTGGACACGAATGCAAACGAGTCCTTCAACAGCGTCTGTACCTGGTTCGCACCTAAGAACAAAGTCTTTTCCGGGTCCTGTTCGCTAGCCAATCGTCTTGCCTTTGCCGTCGGTATCGTCTCCCTTGGATATGTGGAGTTTTTCAACCGTGTTTTCCTCAAGCTTGGAATTGACATGACAAACACACACCAGCATTATCTGTCGGTCAGGCAGAATGCTCGGCAGAAATGATTGGACCGGCTCAAGACTCCGGAGTACAAGCAGTACCGGGCGGAAAAGAAGAACAAGAGGATCCGTTTGGAAACAATTGCCACAAAGAAGGCTTGGGCAAAACGACACAAATGCTACCGCCCAGGCATGAACTTGGATCTTCCGCAAGAACAGCTTCCGGCTGAGGCCGCACGGATCGATGCTGAGAAGGCCGCTGAGAAGGCCGCCAAACGGCCAGCAAAGAAGAGGAAAACGACAAAGACGACAAATAGCAAAGGCAGCTTTTGCCGGTTCTGCGGTAAGAAGGGCCATGTTACGACCGGATCCAAAAAGTGCAACAAGACTGGCGACTCTACGGCTGAGGAGCTGTTCGATAGGTTGACCGGGAAGCTACTATCAGAGCTGACTGCCACCACTCCAATTGCAGCTTCTATTCCAGCTGCTAGCCAGTCAGCATGCATCCCAGAAGCTGAAATTGAGGATGAGGTAAGCCCAGAGGAAACAGCTCATGATTTAGCACGAATGGTAGAGGATGGAACCAAAGATTTGGCTGATTTGGAGTGCATTCCGTTTGATGCACTTGATGGCGACAATGAAGAAGACAATGTTGGAGCCCTTGATGATGACAGTGATAGTGATGATGAAGGCAATGTCAGCCATCTAAAGTGAGATAGCTAGCTATCTATCTTTGTTTGTAATGAAGAGTGTTGCCACAACGTTGTCTAGCTAGTGTGTCGACATCTTACCCGTACGTACCGGTACCGGAACTGTGTGTTGAAACAGTGCAAACATACGTATGAAACGACCAAGATTTGAATATTTGGTCATTGTTTGCTGTTGGTTCGAGAATTATATCACTTCAAATTTTGCCCTCACTTTTTTGGTTGATCACCGCGACTGGATTGCGCGGTCCTATAGTAAAATAGTACATAGAACACGGATTGGGGCTTTCTCACTGGATTCGAAAAAGAAAGCTGAATTCCGTTTGGAAAACACCACAGCAACAAAAACTCCATTAGCTCGAAACATCCACTGTGTGTGTTAGAGATCCCATTCTCTCGATGGCTGCTGATTGTATGGCCCTACAACCATACATTTATCGGCAGCTAATAGTGTAAGGAAGACAGTAGTGCCTCGTTGCAGGGCCATACTGACAGCAGGCATCGAGATTTATCGGTCCGAAGCAGCCGAATCGAAGAATCGATCGCTGTTGTCCACCCATTCAGAAGCCTAACAGGTTCATCAAACATCACCCAAATCCCGCCGCTTACACCTCACCAACACTATTACCAACAGCTCTTGCACTGTCAATAGGTCGATCGATGAAGCTGACAGCCATTCCAGCACGCCTTTAGCAGCAGCTGTCAATTCCTTTTTTTTTTTCACTCGATAGCACCGTGTAAAAGATTGCTTATTATTAACAGCTTCACGCTGGCTTACATCCTGGACGGAACCACCTTAATTGATCTTTATGATGTTGAAACGCTGAAACGCTGAAACCAAAATTTGATGGAGGAAGCCTGGTTCAGGACCTCTATGGAAACTCGAGTCGTGCTACCGATCGTCTCCTAAATCCTTTTGATCGTCTCCTATTTAATGAATTTCGTCATTTCGTCTCCTAAAAATAGGAGACAAAACGGATCGTCTATTTTATCTTTTGTCTCCTCTTAAATCGTCTCCTATTTTCAACTGGTCGTCTCCTATTCTCAACGGATCGTCTCCTAAGTGTACCATGTAAACTGTACGGTATCGTCTACTAAATCTTTCGGATCGTCTCCCATTTCGAAACAATCGTCTCCTAATTGGAATGTCTCCTACTGAATCGTCTCCTAAATATAGGAGACTATTGCTTCCGTCTGCTAAATCATTTCGATCGTCTCCGATGCCTCGGTGTATCATCTCTTAAGTATTTTGCCAGGAATGACGTTTCCACAGAGGTCCAGTGGTCAGGATGGCTTGTATTAAATCCTAAATCCACTGTGGCTCGGGGAATCTCGTTATCGGGATGCTGGGATTTATCGCTACTCAGTACAGCTGTAGTCTATTCACTAGACTATTTCACTACTTGTACTAATCTTCATGATACATGGCCATGCGACTTTTACACTTTTACTGCCCTTCTACTCCAGTACTAGCTATTAATTAATAGAGTACCGGTAGCTAGCTAGTAAAAGAGCGATTGCTTTTTAATTAAATAGATGAGGAGGAGGAGGAAAAGAAGGAAATAATGCCGAACAGCTGAACAGCGGAGCACCGATCGCACTGACAATGGCCTGACCACACCGGCCGGGCGAGTTGCTCTTGTTGCGATTGCAATGCGACCCTTTGGAAACGCCGCTTTCTCCTTTCACGCTGACTGAGTGCTGTGACCATCTTCATTGCCTCCACGATGAGAACGATGACACGTTTTTGGGGAAGACATACGATGACAACTGGGGCGGTCTCGGCGGAGCGTGATGGCTTATTGTGGCGATGAAGAAACGGTGGCGACAAGCAACCAGTTGTACTCCCTTCGCAGCAGCGTCAGTAGTTGCTGACTGCGTGGGACCGTCATGGTGCAACCACAATCATTTTTATGACTTACCGGCAATCACCAACAGTACTATGCATATGTGTATGACATGCTACGGATGTTCTTACTACAATGGCGGAATTGAATGTCAACACTCTTGGGAGTGTAATAGCGTGTGGCCAAATCTGTAAGGCAATAAGTGGCTACTACCAGTGGAACTAGCTAGAGCTCGGATGCTATGTGCACCAACAAGCCATTTGAGTATCACCACACTACGTCACAGCCGGCCTTCGCAAGTCCAAAGACCATCTGTGACATTGAAGCATCCAGCAGAGATATTTCCCAATTAATTCCCATGAGTCAAGGAAAGGCATACACAAAAACACCCACAAAGATCAAAAAGAACAATCAATGCGAAAATCGGGAATGGCACAGTGCACAGCTGCGCTGACATGATATCTGATTCAAACTTCAGAGAGCCCAAAGTTAGCTCCACGCTACGGTAGCTACCGCTATTGCTCTTTGCTGCGACTGCTGCTGGCAGCTGGCTCTCCTAAAAATGCAACCCCAACGATCTCGACCTACACTCCGCTTACACGTACATGTAACTCCCTTGGTGGTGACGGTGCTGTTGTTGGCCATTCGGTCATCATGATATGAACAAGGACCACCATTGGAGAGTGACACTTTTCGTAAAGTACCACATGGCATACCGGCGGTGCCGATTGGCAAGAAGTCATCACACTGGTGACTCTCCTAATAGCTAGCTACATGTAGAACGGGTCTATCCAAGTGGCATCAATGGACAAAGATTGCTGACAACATAGGCTTTCGATTCACCCAAAGTCGTAGATCGATCTCGGATCCCTCTACCGCGCTCACGCAAATAGTACGAGGCATGTAGTTGCAAACCAAACACAACCTCTAGCTAGTGCTGGTATCGTACAATGCCCGGCAGGCTTTTTATGGCTCTTTGGCATTTCCCTCTACACCCAAAGGCCTGCCATTTGTTGATGAGTCAACACTACCTTGAGCCATGAATTGACACGTACAATCACAACCACAAAGATCACTTGAGCAGACGAAGTATAGCTGGGGGACACTGCAAAGGCCTAATGGAACTGTACCCGTCAACAAGGTATTCTCCAAGAACAAATCACTCAACGTATCATTTAAGCTCTCCAGTTCTGACGGGATGATGCCTTGGAAGAACGTAACCTGAATGTCCAAATGCTCAAGGGAATCCAATTTCCCAAGCTCTGATCTCAGCGGTCCCACCAGGTTGGTTTTTGACAGATCAAGCTTGGTCAAGGATGTCAACAGACCTATTTCTGTTGGTAGGAATCCAAACATTTTGGCAGATTGGACTGAAAAATCTTTCAGGGTTTTGTGCAAGAGATCAATCTCTGTGGGGAGAGTGCTGGTGATAGGATTGTCTCCCAGCCACAGTAATTCCAAGGAAGACATTTGGCCCAACTCTGTGGGAAGCCTTTCATTGAAAGCATTGGATTCCACATCAAATTTTGTCAAATTGGCCATCAAGCCGAGTTCAGATGGCAAGGGGCCAGAAAAGGAATTGATGTACAGCCTTAGCCTTTTCAGTTGTCTGAGAAGAGATATTTCAGTAGGAAGGGTTCCAGAGAGTTTATTGCTTTGTACATCAAGTAGGACAAGCTCTTTGGCCAGACCTAATGCAGAGGGGAGGGATCCAGAAAGGTTGTTGCCTTCCAGGTATAGATTGTAAAGTGCTGTGAGAAGTCCAATCTCAGACGGAATGGAGCCCTCAAATGAGCCGCAGCAGAGGTCCATGTAAGTCAATTTTGTCATGGCTCCCAGCTCTGAGGGCAATGTTCCTGTCATGAGTGTGGTATGAAGCCGGAAATCTTCCAAGTCGGTCAGCTTGGCCACCTCAGTTGGCAACGTTCCAGTCAATTCATTTTCATGAAGTTGCAAAATTTCCCACAGGTTGGTCAGGTTCCAAAGTTCGATTGGTATGGTTCCCCACAGAATATTCTTGTGCAAAGTCAAACTATGCAGTGAGGTCATCAAGCCAATTTCTGATGGAATGGTCCCCGAAAGCTGCCCTCTGCCAGCCTGGAAATGATTCAAGACCGTCAACAGGCCAAAGGTTGTAGGGATGGTTCCAGTAAGTGCATTGGTATGGACCAGCAGCAGTTCCAAGCTCTCCATGAGTCCAATTTCCGATGGCAATGGTCCCGTTATTGCATTGAAATCCACAGAAAGATCCGTCAATTTCGTTGAAAGACCCAATTCAGTTGGCAGAGTACCTGCTATTTCATTCGTAGCCACATCCAAAACTATCAAATGGGACAGCATGGCTAGTTCTGGGACCAAACTGCCAGAGAGTTGATTCTTTGTCAACAAGAGTGACAGAAGATTTTCTTGTTCATCACAAACAGGGGCCGTCTCTGGGCCCTTATTGATCCATTTGCTGAACCACTCGCATTCGTGAACATCATAGGAAATCCAATCATCCTGCAGTGTCCAACTTCCCAGGTCACCGTTGGTAGCAAAGTAGAAAGTAGCCAGAGCAAATCGTTGCTGTTTCCGCTCATCAGAATAATCCTCAAAATTGGGATCATCTTGGATCCATTTGTAGGCTCTTTCTTGAGGGGAATCCAGGGGACCATTTTGAAGTGTCTCAACCGTGTAATCCGGCAAGGGAAGAAAGAAGGGTGTGGGTGCTGCAGTAGGGCTACCGGATGGTGCATACGATGGTGCTTCTGTAGCGACCACAATGGTATCTTGTTTCGCCTTATCAAAGACTCCAGCCCACCACAAAATGAGCACAATGAGAACTGGCACCACCACTAGACAGAGAATGGTGTCCATGTATCGTCGTTTCTTTTGATCTCTCATTTGTTGTTTTTCTTCTTCCATGGGTCCATCGTAGGCATCTGCTTCACCCAAGATGATGTTTTCATTATCTAAAACCTCTCTGGCTTCTACCAAACCCATGTTGGAGGCGGATGGCATTCCTGTCTGTGGCATCATGGCAGCAGAAGACACCATAGTGGGAGTGGTAGCCAAAATGATATTGCTTCCAAAGATGTCATCATTTTGCTCCTGGTTTTCTCTCTGCAAATTCAAAGAACCTGGCATGTTATCAAAACTATCATTGGAAACTTGGTTTGCTTCCAACTCTTGTTGGTTGGGACTCCATTTATGACTGTCTGTAGTATAATCATTATGGCTTGCAGCTGGTCCCGTATCGTGTGGCCATCCCACTGCAACAGGCCGTTTCATTTCCGCATCACTCTTGCTGATTCCGAGGCCCGCTACTGCTGCTCGTTTGATTTGCACATCTTCATCGATGCGTCGGAGGCCAGGACTATTAATAACAGATCCTACACGGCATAGCGAAATAGAATTCGTGGTTCCAGTTCCTTTTTGCGTTTCTGTGTCTGCCTTGCCGTGTTGTATGCCAACAAGTGCTGCAAATTTGATTTTGGCATCCTGCTTGCTTCGCCGAAGGCCAGGACCGGAAGATACCACACTTTGGTGGGAAGCAGAATCCATTGGTACGCCTCCCGGTTCCATTTCCACAGTCGTGATATTCTGCTGGGTGCCAGTTACTGCTGCACGCATGATTTCCACTTCTTCTTGGCGGCGGCGCAGGCTAGGACCGGAAGAAGCCATTGGAACGGCACCTACTTGACTTTCTGCACCCATCTTGTTGCCTTTCTTGAGACCCGCAGCAGCTGACAGCTTAATATTCATGTCTTCTTTGCTGCGATGAAGGCCATGGCAAGACACAGCCCTGCTGGAAGAAGCCATTGGCATGGTTTCTACTTGACTTTCTGCACCCATCTTGTTGCTTCTCTTGAGACCCGCAGCAGCTGATAGCTTGATATTCATGTCTTCTTTGCTGCGATGAAGGCCATGATGAGATACAGTCCTGCTGGAAGAAGCCATTGGAACGCACCTACTTGACTTTCTGCACCCATCTTGTTGCTTCTCTTGAGACCCGCAGCAGCTGATAGCTTGATATTCATGTCTTCTTTGCTGCGATGAAGGCCATGATGAGATACAGCCCTGCCGGAAGAAGCCATTGGCACGGCTCCTACTTGGCTTTCTGCACCCATCTTGTTGCTTCTCTCGAGACCCGCAGCAGCTGATAGCTTAATATTCATGTCTTCTTTGCTGTGATGAAGGCCATGACAAGACACAGCCCTGCTGGAAGAAGCATCTGTTGGTCGTAGAGTTTTGCTCGATTCCTTGGGACAGTGGCTCTGTCCTTGTGCTTCTGTCCAGGTGACAACAAACTCCTCTTCACATTCGTGGTGCTCTTGTCGTTCCTTCTCCTCTTTACTCTTCATGGTTCTGTGTTCATCTGATACCTGAGGCAATCCAGACGCAGCCTGTATGATCCCTCTCATCAACAATTTGAAAGTTATGTGTGGTCGAGGCTGGGACTGCTGTTTTGGATCATAAAACCTCCGAACACGATGACGTCTGCATACTTGGTACCTCGGCAGTCTAACTGCCTGAGTTCTCAACCCCTTTACCTCGGCAGTCTAACTGCCTGAGTTCTCAACCCGTATTCTAATAATGAACCATGAGGCAGAATGACGCCGTCAATCAAACTATTGGAACAGGAACGCATCGGGCTCAGCAGGCCTAAAGATAATGGGTGTTTCTGGAGTGGGCGGGATGAGTCTTCCAAGCTCTACAAAAGAGAGACTCATTTGAAAGATATTCAAGATGCCTACCACAGTGCAAACTACTTTACTGAACTTGGCTAAGTAACAGGTGCTTCTGGGACGGGCAAATCTGCATTGGCCAGTTAGTTCCGTCAAGGCAGAGGTGCAAGCTCATGGTGGCTTCTTGATCCAAGGCATATTTGACGAACATGGCATTGGAGACCCCATGCCTGATCTTGCTTCAAAGCACATGCCATTTATGCATGGCCAACACCAGGCAAGCATGCTAGGAGAATCTGCACTGCAGACATGCCACAACCTGCAAGGACTCCATGGTAAAGGGTCCAATTTTCCTTGCTGTACATCATAGCAACCTTGATGAACGAGACTATTGCAGCACAAGTGCTGTTTGAAAAAGTGCAAATCCTATTTCCAGGCTGTTCGGCTCCTGCAATTCATTCGCTGATGTGTTCCTTGGCTTCCACCGAGGCAGGTCTTGTAGCTCCCGCCCTTGCCCGTGAATGTATGGATAGTCTCTTCGCAAGAGGCTCACTGAAGCCAAGCGTCAGGCCATCGAAGTGAACGCGTTGCTCAGGTGGAAGACTTGGAGGAACCAATTCAAGTGACGAATTCCCCATTCCTATTACCCAAGCTGTGACCGTTTGACGCCAGAAAGCCTCTGCTGGACGAAGCCAGGTCAGGGGATTCGTTGTTGGGCACAGGCACGGTACTAGTTCTTCAAGATCCAAAGTTACGCCTCGAGCAAGTCTGGTAGAAAGCAACGGCGATGCAAGGTTTGTTGCTCATTTGTGTGCGCTGGAACGGTTGAGGCAATCAAAACTAGTCTTTACAGCTTGAAGCTTTTCTTTTGATGCGTGCTGTTTGGTAATGCTTTAGTTGCGTTGTTGTTGGGCACCATTCCTCGTGAGTTCCCACTGAGCTAGCAAATTGTCTGTTTGATCTTGCATTATTCCACGCAGTCCCTCATCTCTGTCGAACATGTGTACTACTGGGGCAAGCTGTCCGTTTTGGTTGAGAGTACGGTTTTGCCCATCGACGACGCCAATCTGTTTCAGAGGTCCTTTTCTCATTGCGGTCAAGCCGACCGTGTTCACTGCACCGTAACCCGGTGGGTGAGAAATCACTCGCATCGTGAAACCATCCGACGACGACAATGATATTGCACTACTTGCATTCAGCTGTTGGCTGTGTATCAAATAATTGTGTAATGCTTGGTCCCCACCAAAGAGCGTACTTTCCGTGCGATCAAACTGGTAAACCATGGCTCGCAGATACATGTCCATGGCAATGCGCCCGCCCATTGTGGTTCCGGAGCAGATGACGGGCAAATCCAGCATAGGATCTGCAATTTCGGCACCATAAATGTTTCGCAGCCAGTTGCGATTGGCGCCAGAATCACGCACAAGGGAGTCTTCCTGAAACACATTCAGGGTTGTGGAGGTTGTAAGCTCTGTTGTGTCGATTTGCTCGTCGCTGTAGTCAAAGGGAGACGTCTGGAAAAATACATCTCTTGCATCCGAGACCAGTATTCGTGACGTTGGTCCGTACCACGTCGTCCACGCCCAAAACAACTCAAACCGTAGCATTGCTGCAAAACGAGTTCGACGAGCATCCTGCAAGTATTCCCCCGTCGTGTTGGATCGATACAATGTATGGATTTGGCAAATGGGTCCTCTGGGTCGGTGTCGACAGTGCAGAGGGAGCTCGTATATAATCAATTGTGGCTGGTGATATTGAAAGAAGTCTTGCAACTCTGCGAAATCTCCAGAGTTAATGCCCAAAACGATATCACCCCTATAGCCCGTTTGGATGAGCGTCTCGACAAACAAGATGATCTGAGGCAATTTATACCCCGCAGCGACAGCGAATACGGCATCACGATCACATCGATGTGCACCCAACTTGGGTTCAAGGGCTATTGTGGCATTGGGAGGCATGGGGCTTGGAAAGGTCAGATTATGTGGGAGATGTAACGGAACACATTTCTGTTCATCAGTTGGACCGGCGGCTGCTTCTGTTGAGGATTCGTCCTGTCTTCTGACATCCACAACCGGAGAGTATTCGTCAAGGCGAGTGAATGAGAGACATCCGAATATTGCACATCCCAATAAAAGCTTCTTGACCTTGCCGTAAACGTCGCATCGAGCACTTGGATGCGTAAACGTCGGACGCTTTTGAATCATTTTTCGTCGGCTTTGGTTTGGTGAAGACTAGTAGCCAGCTGGGGCGGGATCTCTGTCGTCTGTAGTAGGTAGATAGCGTTCGAACACCTTTCTTGATAGCTTGGACGTCTTGGGATTTCTGTTCGACGCATGGATGTTCTTGAGCTGTTGAACTGGATTTTTGTGTTTTGCAACACGACCACCAAAAAAGACGGCGAGCCCTGCGGGCAGGAATGGATTGAATTCCTCAACTAGCTAGCTACCGGTACAGTGGACCGTACCGGTACCGGTACTAGCACCGATACCGTACCCCAGTTTTATCAAATTTGATTAAAATATTATTGTGTTGTATACGGTACTCAAAGGACGCTCCGTGATGCCGGTGCAATTCTCACACAACCCATCAACCGAAGCGGCAAATCAAGCACGTCAGCATTATCCATCATCTTTCTGCAGTAATAAAGGAAGTCAAGTCACCTGAAAGGTGCCAATAAAAAGAAGCATGTCATTCATAACCAAGTTCATGAGTGGTGGCGGTGCAACAGCTACAGCAACAACACGGTCAGTGGCCAAGGACAGATTGAGTGTGATTTTGGCATCCCAAAGAGGATCGGAGTTGCTGGAAAAAGTCAACATGGAGGACTTGCAAAGGGACGTTTTGGCAGTGGTGGAGGTGAGTTCATCTGTTATTAAATCCATTGGGTTTTTGTGTTGCAACCACAGGAAGAGGCATGGCTGACCACTCCATTTATTTCTCGTCATTTTTCTCTCCGTGTAGCGCCACATTCAGATTGCCAAGAACCGACCGGTGCATTGCTCGGTCAATTCTGAAGGTGAAAATCAAGTATTCGAGATGAGCATAGGGCTAGCTACAGCGCGGAGGTCCACTGCGCGACAACAAAAAGCAGCCTAACCAGTATATAGATGACTTGCACCAATCCAGTTCACCATCTCTTCCTCCAGCGGTGTCCATTCCAAGCTCGTAAACGCAGTACCACACACACACACTTAAACGACAACACACCATCCATCAACCATCTCGCTAATGCATGAGATGAGGGATACGGTACGACTGTATCCATCATTGGTGCAGAAACCGTAGAGTGGTCTGGTGTAGGCAACACGCTGGCCATCCATTTAACTTATTCCAGTAGCCTATTGGCGTTGCAGTAGCACGTCAAGCAGTATAGCAGTAGTACCGGTATTTCCCAACCACCAAAGATATTATCTAGCTAACTAGCAGTCATCAACAAAAATCTCAACTTAGTTTGCTCTACTAAATGGAGCAGATTTATCCTACAAGGGATCCGTCTCAATGACTTGAGGAAGCTGGTCAGAGATCGGCGTGCATGTACAGGCATTGCATTCTAACTGCTAGTACATCTTACGCGGGCCAACCAACCACTTTCTTCTCAAAGCAGTACAGAGTACAATGCGACTGTAGGGTAGCAGATCTGAGACTGGCTGGGGCCTGCCTCCCTTGCAACAGGGTTGGGTTCAGACAGTTTGTTCTGAGAGGGGCGCTTCCGACAGAGCGTCTAGATATTTTTGCACGGGTAAACAATCGATCTGACATAACATGTTCACTTGTTTTCCAAGCATCACAAGCATCACAAAGGTCGTCGGGAGGAACGATGATTCCTTATTGCCAGATTGCCAGGCAGCCGACAAAGCACAAGTAAGTTGGCTTTTGCTGAAATATTAGTGTGTCACATGATCACAGCAGAATGGTGCAGCTGCAATGACACTAGCTAGCTACCGGTAGCTACTAGCTAGACGCAGTGATGCTACCGGTACGCAAGGAGGAACTTTTGAAGATTCACCGCAGCACAGTTATCGCCATGCCTTCCTTTCAAGCAACTCCTCTCCGAGCGAACCAATCCCACATGGCTGACCAAACTCCGACGTGGCCTGCCAACACTATGTCATAGTTAGGTTCCCTTTCATCCTGCTGGTACTGTTCCGACTGCGGCCGGTTCTTTATGTTTCCTTCATACAGTGGCCATCATCTAGCTAGCCAGAGCTTCCGTCCGTTGGCATACTAGCTAGTAGTAGTTTAGAGAGGAGACTGGCAGATGTTGCTTCCCTTCTGCGTTGCTCTCCTGTCTTCTCGATTGGCTTCCGAGTTAGGATCTTGATTTCTGACCGTTGCAGTCGGGACTGTAGTACACTCCGTACAAACTCTACGGAGGGTATCCTTGACTCAAAAGATCCACTCGGCATCTTGGATCTTGCGCGGTGGTGATGTGGTCATCGCCCATCACAAGCAAGCAAAGCAAGCAACTTTTGATCGATCATAAAATCTCTGTTGAAAGGACCAAAAAGCTCTTTCTCTTCTCTTTTTCTACACTAACAAAACCAAACTAAACCAAAACTAATCCAACCATGGGCAAGCTGATTATTCTCCTCAACAAGGTGACCAACTTGGTCGACGAAGATGCTTTGGGCAAGAGTGATCCCTACGTCAAGTTTGAATTGGAACAAGACAATTTGATCTTTGACAAGGATTTTGGCGACAAGTTTTCCTCCAAGAAGAAGGATGACCTCAACCCTGTATGGGACGAGACGATTGAATTTGACGATATCCCCGGATTGAACAACATGGTCCTAAAGTGCATTGTCAAGGACGACGATCCCATCTTTGACGACAAGCTCGGATCCTGCAAAATTAATTTGGAAGAACTCGGATTGAGCGGTGATCCCACTCCGGTCGATCGCGTCGTGGACGATAACTGGATCTCCAAGGATGCTCGTATCTTTCTTCAAATCTCCTACGAAGAGTAAGCATTCTTTTTTGAGCATGATGGAAATGCAACTGACTGGATGGAAAAGACACTTGGACTTGCTGTTGTGGACTTGAGAGAGATATGATAGAAACTATAAAAACTAAAAATAATCGAGCCAAGTTCTTTTTACTACAGGCTTTATGCCTGCTTTTCTGGTTTTTCCCTCTGCTCTGGCCGCCTTGGTGTTGTTGGTTCGCTCAGCCACAGTCAAAAAGATTGCGGTCCGTCGGATTGTCTACCAGATAAAGCTCACAAGAAAATGGAATCGCCTCACACTACCGCACCAGCCAAGCGCAGGAAAGGATGGTTCCACTCTCCTCCCCGCAGGCATGGAACGGCCCACATTTTACGGGATGGATTGTCCTGTATCTGGAGTCTTGGCAGCTTGCTAGCACTGCTGATAAGAAGGACGAGCCGGAAGACGAAAATAATGCCAACCCATTCTACGCGGAACCAGCCGATGGGGAAGAGGCTCTCCGCCCAATACACACGTGGGTGACTTCTTGTTTGGGAAGAAGCAATCAACATGATGAGGCTCAAATTGGCTACGTACTATTGCAGAGATGAGAGAATCAATCCGAGTGGGGGATACGGAGCGGAACAAACAACGAGAGAACGGCTGAAACCTGGACAATCATTGTCGTTGGCTGGAACTAACAACTGAACTGACTCCAGGGATGACAACACCCACAACGGATTGGCTGGAGACAGATAAAAATGGAGGACAGTGCCGATTTAGCTGCAAGAATGAAGGAATGAATGATGGTACTCTAAAAGTGATCATTTATATAGCCCATAATCGCAGAGGCCACACTATGCCACGCACATGTGGGCGGATGGGAAGGTGAAGCACTCGGGCTTTGTGCTGTCCAGGAGGTTGTCCATGGATATGTAATGAAACGGGATTCAAAGGTTTCCAGCACGGTTCTACTGACGGCATCTTGCAGTTCTTTGGCGGTTGCTTCGTCCAGGCTACTACTCCACCAAGTAATGAGTTTGGGATCCAAGAACCCCGTCATGCTGGAGTAGATTGTCAAGGCAGGCAGCCACATAGGTTCCCCTGGCACTGGGATGTGATCCATCGTCAGTATAAAGTGAAGAAAATAGTGTTCCATCATCCTCGGGAGTGATCCCCTGTGCTACCGCATCATTGTAGATGGTCTGACAGACCAATCCCACTGGTGCCACATAGGGTCCAGTGTGGACGTTGCTTCCACATATCTCATATACCCCTCTGTCAATCGCCCTTGCATGGTGGAAAAAGTCTGGATAGATGTCAGTACAGTATTGCCAATGTCTCCGTTTCGTCGACCCCACGTCATGAAAAACATTGTTTGCCCACCAGTATCATCATTAATGTAGTCATTCAATGTTGGGGCAGCGGCAAGGACCTGTCCCAATTGGATCCTTGCCAAAATCCGGGTATTTAACTTTGATCTTGCAGGACAAATTACCCACTTCCATGCCAATGGCATGGCATGGCAATGAGAAGGTTTCGAATATTGTAACTTGCTGTTTCATCATTTTGTGCTTGTTCCAAATAAATGACCTCCTAATGTTTGACCTCCCGGAGTATAACTGTCGACATGCAGGGCCATCCATTCTGGAATTCCTTGTTGCAGTATCCTCTGGAATGTATGTATTGGGGAGGGAATTGAAATCGGTGTAGCTGTTTCCTAGCCAGGAACAAAAAGTTGGGGTCTCCATCGTAGAAAGGAATACTGCTGGTTTGATGAGCGTGACAACAAGGGAATGCTAATGATAGAAGCAGCAACAGCAGCAACTGAAATGGTACTGTAGAAAGAGACGGTGGTCTCCTCTGCAGTGTCATCTTGACCTGTGGTTTGGTGGTGTGGTTTGTCATTGTTCGTTCAAGCTCATTTAGGGCATGAATGAATTTGGCTGGCATTGCTTCCCACGTGATTGTTTCAGTCCCCTGAAGATTTTTGGACGCCGAGCCGGCCAAAATTTGAAGTGGCAGCCGAGAATGGAATTTATCGAAAGAGGACGGCAGAGACAAAGACAAAGACAAATCTCAGTCCATGGCATTCGCAGCGCTGTCCTCTTCCCTTGTGTGTCTACTCCAGTATTCCATTCGAGTGCTTGGCTTTGGTGAGAGCTGCTACTATTGAAGCTAGCTAGCTAAGGTGGCAAGTTATAGCCAACCGTCAAGAAAGTAGAAGAGACCGAGGTGATTGAGTGGAGGTCCAAAGAGCATTGTGCTTTTATTTTGGAATCCTTTTGGATACTACTTGCAGAGAAGTGTGTAAAGAAGAGAAGATCATCATGTCATCTCATCATCAGCAGCGACCATCGTCGTCGTCGTCTTCGTCGGCCATGCCACCCCGGTCATCGGCTCGCAGCAGTTTTTCCTCTTTATCAGGAGGAGCTGCAAATGCTACTACAAATGGTGGTGGAGGAGTCAATCGTCGTCGGTCTCCGTCACCGCAACAACTCGCCCGGAGCCGTCGTACTTCCACTACTGGTAGTACCGCAAGCAGTACTGGCAGTACGAACAGCAGTGTGAGTTCGGTCCTGAGCAATTTGAAATTTGGACGATCGTCATCTCCTTCGGGCAGTGTGACGGGAGGTCACAAGCCGTGGCACAACAGTGATGAATTGGAAATGCTGCCTACTCGCAATATGCAGCATCAAACATCGGCTAGAACGACTCGAGTTGACTTGTCTTTGCAAGGAGGAACCGCCAAGGCAAGAAGCCGAAGCAGTAGTAGCGATCGCGAAGAAGATGAATACGACAAGTACGGATTCTCCGATTGTTATCCCAAACAACATCATCCTACTACTGCACAGGCACAATCCACTACTAGCACTACCAGCACTACTAGTACCGAAGGAACACCCAAAAAAGACGATGCGTATGCGCGCTATTTACAGCAACGAGACAAAACATCCTATGCCAGATCTTCTTCCTTTACTGGTAATAGTACTACCAATGGTCATGGAGACACAACAAACAACAACACTTCAGCTACTACTGCTACTAGTGCCAGCAGCATTACCAGTACTGCTGCCATGCCGAGAAGAACCTCCAGTAACCCTACAAGACCACCCATGCGACCCAACAACACCGACACAATAATGGAACCAGAAGAAGATTCCGCAATCACCAGTGCCAGAAACATGAGAGCCAAACGATTGGCTCAACAAAAAGTTGCGTCCAGAGAGGCGGATCTTAGATTGCAATCACACAATCCGGCCGTACAGGCATATCTCGCAAGAAAGGAAAAGGAACGGGAGCACACTACCACTACTACTGCAACTAGCAGTCAATACTCCAGGAAACCAAAACATGATGACGACGACGACAATAAGGAAGAAAAACGAGATGAACCATCCTATTCGGCTCGACAGAATCGACCACCAACGGCTTCGAGGCGTCCGACACACCAACAACAACCCAAGGCGGTGCAAGTACAGTCCAACATGACAACTTATACCTATCAGTTTCAGCCACAACAAGCCAGTAGTAGTAGTGACAATGCTGCTACCAGTGATGCCAATAATACAACGTCAGTGACACGGGCGCGAAGACTGCTCCAATCGTCAGCTGCAGCAGCAAGTCCTTCGTCGTCTTTTCAGGACGAGTTCACCAAAAAGGAACAACCACCCACAACAACAACACGCAGATCGGCCCCATCCACTATTTTGTCAAATACAACCACAACAGCTTCTGACGTCAAAACATCTCACAGTCGCAACAACAGTGCTGGAAGTACTTCCAGTTACTCGTCCCTCAAACCACAGCCATTTGTGCGAACATCATCCGCACCACACACTGCCAGCAATACGACAACAACTACTCATGGTCGATCCAGCAGCTCTGGGAGCATTGGGCATTATCAATCCAGTATTCCATCGGCCTGGGAAAATTATTCCAAAGATGCGGGTATCCCGCCACGAGCATCCGCCACCACATCAATGATTAATGCCGTGGCGGATCCACCCAGAATTCAACGCAAAACCAGTAGTCCAAGGACAAGCACAAACAGTAATACTGACACTATCCATAACAATTCGACCTATTCGGATTGTTCCGTCACTCGAGCCAGGCGGTTGTTGTCGGAAGGAAAAGAACGACACTCCAATACTAATACACCCCTCATGAACACCACCACGACAACCACAAATACTCCTCCTGCTGCGTCTTTGGCAAGGCCGCCCAGTGCTGCTGGAAGATCATCATCCGCAAACAGCAGATCCGTGTCCACCCCGTCCATGGATGCAGCGAGAAGAACGTCGTCTGGCGGCAGCAGCAACAACCATGACAATAATAATACTGCCGTCACAACCATTCCTCGTCCGCTCCAGTCCATTCAGATGGGACAGGATGACTGGAGTGTCCGAGTGTGTGTCATTTCTGCTGTCGATTTCCCAGTCCACGTGGTACCCAATATGCCACTCTCACCCGTATTGAAAATTGGATTGGTTTCCATGATGCCCAATGGCAAGGAACGACTGTTGCGAGAGATTGATCGCAAGGGATTGGGAGCCGTGTCGGAACAAATGAGATGTACAACGACCAAATTACTCAGCAAACGCGACAATGGAGCCGTCGAATTTCACGAAGAATTACGATGGGATAATGTCGCACTCAAACAACAAACGCAGGGTGATTCTTCCTATTTGGCATTGGCCGTGGAATTATGCGCTCGTGGAGTCCTACGACCGGCCAATCTGCACGAATCGCCACCGCCACCGGTTCTTAGTAGTCCTTCCAGCAAGGGTTTTAGTCCTCTACGAGCCCGAGCCGGGACACCCCAAGGACGACAGAGTCCGGAATCACTCCAAGATGTCAACAACCCCAACAATGCTGCTGCGGCGGCACCCGTTCGACCAGGAGGTCGAATCGTCAACATGTTTCGTAAATCGGGACGCAAGGGCAAAACCGATTCGGCGGCCATGGAATCGGCACAAGCGGCGGCGGCAGTGGCCAAGTTGCTCGTGGAAGGATCCACATCGCCAATGACGCCAGGACCTGCCATGACGTCCCCAAGTGGGGCACTGAATGCTCCACCGCCACCTGTCACCGGGCAACAAGGAGGACGGACAACGTCGTCATCGTCGTCGGTGCCCACTCCACAGGAATGGGATGTTACATTGCGAGCACAGCCCGAAACTTCTTCATCATCAGACTCTGTCGTCATGACGGATGACATTCGTCTGGGTAGTCTCATTATTCCCTTGACAGAGATGGACGATCTGAAACGACTGTTGCGTGATCGGAGTCAACCGGCACGGTTGGAAAAATGGTTTGAAGTTCAAAACATGAATGCTGCCGTGATGAATGCCAGCAACACGACTCCAAACTCAGCATCGTCGCCGCGGCAGTGGTTACGAGGTAGCGATCGTGGAGCAGATGGTGGTGGATCAGCACCCGGATCTCGCAGCCAATCGCCCAACATTAGTGGCCGAGCACGGCGGAATCCGAGTATTTTGCTGGAGTTATCCCTGTATGCACCAGAAGTTTTGGACGATAGCGAAGATGAGATGGACGAAGACGACATGGAAGAGGAGGCCGACAGTGCGCCGAGGTCGGTGCCAGTGGCAAAGTCGTTTGCGAAACGAACCACGATGCAAGTGCGACACCAATTGCAACTGCAGAGTAGGAATGCTGCCATGAATGCCGCCAACAACAGCAAAAGCCCGACTCGGGACAGCCGCGATGAAGCAAAACAGGCATCCCAGGCAAGGTCCCAGGACCCAGTTCTTGAGCCTGGGATTATTGATTTTATCAGTGTAGTTGGTGCACGTGATATTGGGGATCAGAAACAAGACGATGGAAGCAAGGGTTGGGTACAATCGACTCCCGAGTGCTGCGTCTTGGAACAGTTTCCGCCTACAGAGGACTTTCACCTGCATCAAAATCGCAACCGTTCAGCTCGATTGCCACAAAAAGTTGAATGGTTTTGCTTTCCTGATGGTGTCAAGCTGTGGCGTGGCACTCAGCCTCCCTCTGCATCCGACTTTTTATCGCAACAGCAGCAGCAGCAGGTTTCCCCCATCATGACACCGTCACAAATCATGGTGTCAGAGGCTGAATCTACCTCGCTCGCATTATTCGACGCCTATCTGAATTGCACTACATCGTTCAATTGGTTCGTCATTGCATCCAATTCGGACGATTATGGTTCTCACACGCAAAAGACGTACGGGGCTGTGATCCGATTCTACGTCCCAGCGCCAATGGGCATTGACCCAACCCAAGATGATTTTGCACAAACACTCATGGGCGGAGTTCGAGAGGAAGAAGACGAAGAGTCGGACATGTGGTTGGACCCAAATCCTGAGCAAGAGCAGCCACGAGGCATGTTCGGTGGCAAAGGAGGAAAGAAGGAAAAGAAGCGTCTTTGGGTTCCAATTGGAATTTGCGTGACGGCGTCGTTGCCCATTGTGGGCATTATGGAAGCTGTTCTAATGCGATGTTGTGAGATGCTGGCCAGTCGACCCAAGATTGTCCCGACTGAAAAGAACAAGATACACAACATGATTCAGCGGCATCTTGCGAACCTGATTTTGAATTTCCAAAAACCTAAAGCTGGTGCAGTGAACTGTTCAGTGCCCTTCTTGTTGGGAGAACCCGTTCAAGTACGGTTGCCACCAAGATCTGGACTGCCGCCACTGCCACATGGGAATGCCGTGGCCAGCGTTTGCCGACTATTGGGACCGGAGGGCTTCATCTTTGTTTTAGCGGCACTCCTGACCGAATCGAAAATCCTGCTTCACTCACACAATCCAGCCAATTGTGCCATGGTGGCAGAAGTCATGACAGCCCTTATCTACCCGTTCTGTTGGTCTTTACCTTATATTCCAGTCCTTCCAATGGGCATGTTGGAATTTATCGAAGCACCCTTGTCGTACCTGTTGGGGATCCCGTCTTGTTGTTTGGAACAGAACATGGTAGATCCCATGGTTTTGGATGATGTTGTCGTGGTTGATTTGGACACGGGGTTCTCCTCTCCAAACTGGTATGTGTTGCATCGACTCTTTCTTTGAGTTTCTTCCTGCTAAGATGCTTTTGTAAACTGACTTGCACTGTTGCTTATTGTTCATTGGGCAGGAAAACCACCACTACAAAGTACAAATCACCGACGCCCTTGCCTTCATTGGTTGCCAGCAACATTTCAAGAGCTGTCTACCGACTTTTGCGCGCATTAGAGAATGAGCACGAATTCGGTGAAAGACACAGCCACGCAGTGTCAAATGCATCGGATCGTCTACCTCGCATCCAACCAGAATCAAAGGCAGAGCGAGAGTTTCGAATTGCCATTGCCCTTGAAATGGGTGGCCTTGTGCGAGGATATCAAGATTGCCTCGTCTTTGTTTCGACTTCGCAACCTGTTTTTAATAGGGAGAAATTTCTAAAACGAGCTCCGGCCTTGTTCATTGAGGAGCCCTCTGGTGGTGCTATTGGAAGCCGCGCAAACAAAGTCAAGACCAATCGAAGGATCCTATCTTCCCGATCGAAACGATTCCTCTCAATACTGGTTAATTGCCAGCATTTCCATCAGTTCCTTGAAATGCTACGGAGCGAAGAGTGTGCGTTCTTCCACGAGGTCATGGAGATGTGGATCAAAGGCGACGAGAGCAGTAAGAATAGCGAAGGCAGCGTCTTTGAAAGCAGCTCGTCGTTTGACCATACCAGGGCCATCGGTCACCTCAGCAAGAGTCTACAAACCTTGGAGGATAAGGTGTCTACTTTCGAAGTCACCCAGATACACAGCAACAAACCGAACGGATCTAATCCTGAAGATGACGTCTTGCAAGACGAGGATTACCAAGTCTTGAGCAGAGATTGTCGTTTCCCGAGGAACTTGTTGCAGCAGATTGATCTTGGCGCCAACTCGGCCGACCAGGACAGTGATGCTGCGAATGCGGCGTCAAAGTCATCCCAGAATCAGGGAGTACACCACGCCAGTCTTTCTGTCCAATACTTGGTCGAATTGGAGAAGAATCCTTGGCGGTACAGAAATATGTTTGATATTTCAGTGCCTAAAGCGGAAGGAGCAGAGCCGACTCCAGTAAGCGAAATAATTGCAGGTAACCAGTCAGTGCTAGTACGGGAAAAGCTGAAGCTTTCTGATGCACTCGGCGAGCGAAAGTTCCGAGCTTGGAAGATGTCAAGAGACCAGATGGGCGAGGAAGGAGACCCGAGTGCAGGCAATTCCGTCGAGGACAGTCTGATGAAGCCCGGAGACTTTGGAACGTCGTTGGACCTTGCAAGCCTAATGACTTCGGCGACGGAAGATACCTTTTCAGAGACTTCGTCACAGTCTTCGTTGGCCAACGCTTCAATCAATTCCCGTGGAGCCGCCGGCAACCCACGATCTAGCCTCACACCGGAGCAACAGCGAGTTGCAAATGCCAAAGATCGAGATGTACTGAGACGGTGCCTAGAGAAAGCGTATGCTGCCAAACCCAGCCAACAGCAAGATTCTCAAGCAATGTCGGACATCTTCACCCATCATGGCCGCGATTTGGTTGCAGAGGCTGAAGTGGCGCTGCGGAACCCCTCTGCCCAACACTTTTTGCTTTCTCTTCTGAGCAAACGATCCAAATTGGACGAGCAGCAAAAGCAGCTTCAGAGTCGGGGTTCCACTGAACGGCGAAACAGTCGCCGACTCAGCAATGCCAACTCCATCTCTAGCAGCCGCCTGGAGCCCATTGCCTTTGAATGCGTTGTGCGTCTCTGCTGTGCAATGTTGGATTCTTGCATGGAGACCAAGGACTACGAACCAGCATACTTGTTATTGTGTCACACAGCTGGATTGTTCACTCTACAACCCGAAAGCATGAACGATACCGGTCTGAACAATGACGGAAACGCTGACGACGGTGCAGGCAGTGTCCCTCAGCCCATGTACATGACAGCCAGAATAGGTTTGCACCCCCTATTTGCAGATTTGGGGCTGTGGCAGAAAGTGATGAGTTTGCATTTGGCAGAAAAGCAGTCCAGCCTGGCGGCAAGCGACAGGTTACCCAACGATAAGAGCGACAGGGTCAGTAGTGGAGGCGACTCTTTGCAATCCCTGTCGCGTTCCGAGAGTTTTGAAAATGACTTGCCTTCCAGCAACGACGACGACAAGCAGTACGAGGCAGCCGTTGCAACCTTGTATGAAATGCTGGGCTACGGAATTCCGGCCGAAGAGCTAGCGAGATTTGCCACCAAGGTGAGCCAGTCGCAGGGCTGGTTTGGCCCGGGCAGTGAACGAGGACAATCGCTCCTATTGTTAGCAAGACGTCTGAGCATGCGCAGAGAGCTGGCTGAAAATGGTGGCGTAGCCCCTGGGGAAACTGGAGACTTGGATATCATGCGGAATAGAACAAATACCGAAGACAGCAAGGAAATGATGATGGAAAGAGACTTGATTGAGAGCAGCCGGATTGACGATGATGATGACGACGAAATCGAATATGAGATTCTGGAAGTTGGCTGGTGTCATCCAGCGGCTCCGCCGGCCGCTACTGCAGCTGGAGCAAAGGGATCCTCGACAGCTTCTAACTCTACCGCCAGTTCGGTAGCCTTGCGCGGCGGTGGACAACAAACCGAATACATGAATCGCTCGGCTGTTACGGCCCTGGCCACATTTGGTCCATCCGTGGTAGTATCTGGTGGTTTGGATGGAGGCGTTTTCCTGGCTCACACAGCCCCACGGAACGAAGACGATCGCGCTGATTTGTCATCTAGTAATCACCCTAGCGCTGTGGTTCGGGGGATCCATCTTGACTGGGGGAGTTCTGGGAGCAGAGCGATTCCTGGATCGACAGTGGTGTCTTCTGCGGACGGTGAATACGGCGTCGGAGCGGTTAGTTGCTTGGCTGCCGCAACCGGAGCAGGTGGGCATCATCATCGGACGCAGGCAAGTTCTCAAGCCACCAAAGATGTTCTTGGTCTGATGGATGACGAAGATATGATCAGGGAAATGGAGGACAGCCGTGTAATTGCTGGCACTACTTGTGGCGACTTGAGAATATGGTCCGTCAAAGATGTCTACGCCGCTATATATGCAGCACATTCAGGGGAAGATGGCGGCGGCGGAGACTCTCACCGGACTGCCCATCCTAGCGACGCGTCGTCTAGCTTTATCCCGGCCACACCCACACGACGACGGTTGGGTGGATCAACCACCAGCGAGTCTGGTGGTACTGGAGGCAGCAACAACCCTTTTAACCGGCTCAAGTTCTCGCTTCGTGGACGGGCTTTGTCGGGTCATCGTGGTGGTGTTACGTGTGTGGATGTCCCATCACATGTTTACCGGCCCGATTCGGTTGTGACTGGTGGTGCCGATGGCTTGATCAAGTTGTGGTCGTTGAGAACCTCCACAGTGGGACGCCGTGATCATACATCCTTCGTTACCACCGCATCGTCTGGATCATCTGCTGGCCAATTGGGTCGACGCCTTGCCGCCAATCGAGGAGGAGACGCGTTGAGTGTTCTGAGTGGTCACGGTGGCAGAATCCTCTGCGTGAAAACAGCCTGGCACGGAGATCGATTATTGAGTGGCGGTGCTGATCGCACCATTCGAATCTGGGACATGATGTCGGGAAGCAGTGGGGGTGGAACAACAGCATTGAGCGGCAGTTCAGATGCAGCCTGCTTGCATACGTTGTCCGGTCACTTTGGCTGGGTAACACACGTGCAGTATTGGGGACCGAATACCATCGTGTCGGGATCCACCGATCGATCCATTGCGTTATGGGATCCTCGTGTGCGGAACTCTCCTTTGTTTGTTCTTCGGCACCATCACGCACCCATCTCGGATATTATGGTCGGTTCCCGGACTGATCCCTTGATGGTGAGCGCTGCCAGTGATGGAAGTGTGACGACCTGGGATTTCCGGTCTCTTTCGGGTGCAGCAGCTGCTCTTCAACAGCAGAACGAAAGCAACAATACAACTGGTGCTGATCCGCCATCAGCTGCTGGAAGCAAGCATTGCAAAGTGGTTCGCCACCCCGCAGCCATTATGAATTTGAGTGGTCCTTCGGACCGTTTGTCGTTGGCACGATCCGGTCCTGTGATGTTATCTCGTGGGGATCGTCTCCACAAGAGGACGGTTCTGAGTGCGGGGAGCGACGCCATGATGCGCGAATGGGATATCTCGACGGGTCGATTGTTAAAGGAATGGAACAGCGGTCATTGTGATGCCCTGTCGAGTTTGACCTCTGTTGCGACAGCCTCGTCCAACACGTTGCTAGGAGTGGGTTCAGAACCCGAGGGGCAGTCGTCTGTTGGTGGCACCATAACGAGTTCCTGGGACGGGACTATTCGAATGCGAAAACGCGTTTCCAAGCGTTACCGGTAGTGGTGGTCTTAGGATGAGGTTGTACTAAGTTACTAATGGTATGAAATGGTCCAATGACAGAGGCAGCATCGTGGTTAATAAAAAGATTCATAATAATAGAGTCGGATTACGATAACAGCAGCTAGATTCAGTCATCCACCCAGCGCTTGCAAAGCTTCCACACTGATGCATTGACGGTGAGGCAGCGGCGACCCAAGCCGGTTCCAAAATACATATCATCTCGGGGCTAGCTAGCCAGGCTCGATCTTCATGATGGCCCTTTAATTAAGGCTCAATAATTCCCACCGTGGCACCGTGACTGTCACCATCATCCGTTTCGTCCTCCCCAGCTTCCACCCTGCGCCTAGTACGCCTGACTCTTCGTGCCAAATCAGCATCATCTCTTAGGACGGCTCTTGTCACAGTTGTATTACAGCCGAGAACTGGGCAAGGGCACTGACGACCTCCCTTGGATCGGATATATGCCAGGATTCCCTCCCGAGAGTAGGAATGCAGGCAAGTTGAACAAGTCACAGGATCTTCCATCCACTGGGCTGTAATGCAGCACTTGCACTTGCTGATAGTATTCTCGTTGTTAAGCGCAGGAAACCTGTCGTCTTCGGGAGCACTGGCACTATGACAGAGAACGTCAAACAAAAATGCTGCTCCCAGCTTGGACATGGGGCCCTTCACCTCCAGTTTCTCCTTCATAGACATGCCTCCCCAGTGCTTGCCCAGAGCAACGGCGCATCTCTTTTGTAGACATGACAATGAGGACTGTTTATCATTCTGATTGCTATTGCCACCTTCGTCCTGTCGGCGTAGCAACTCATCTTCAATCAAACAGAGACGTAGCGCAAATGATGGGTCAATTCGTTTTAGCTTGGACGGAGCCGTGAGAACCTGGAATTTTTTGAGACCCAAGCTTTCAGAATGGACAATGCAAACCTTTTCCACCAGCTTGCTAAGGTGGGGTTGTTTCAGCTTGGATGCGGTAAGTGTTGTGAGAGCCTGCAACTTTTCGATATCCAAGCTGTCGCAATGGACACGGTATACCGCTTGAACAAGTTTGCTAAGGTGGGGACAATGTTCAGTCTCATCTGGAATGAAGCGGATAACATCAACCCAAAAGTCAAAATCAACACAGAGGTCAACAAGGTCGGCAAGATCCATTCCAGGGTTGACTAAGACCCTAGCACAATGCTTTGCGCACAAACTCAACATGGTTTGGTTGCGAAGCTCTTTGGCTCTGAGGTAGTCACGTCCAAGCCCTTCAGAAGTTGTAAGAAAAATGATATTTTCTTGGCAAAAGAAGTCTTCCACATCCTTTCGTAACTGGGCAATTTCAAAGTACTCTCCCAAGGAATGCATTGCAATAACGTCTTTGGAGGCAAATAGCAGCCTTGTTGCGGAGCCATAAAGATAGTCCAGAACAGCAGGGAAAAGAGAGGCAGTGGACTTGTGCAGTTCAATGCGACTGGTGCATTCTTGAGATTCTTGAAATGCATTCTTGAACGTCTTGGCAAAGTAACCACTCTTGCGATCTCCATGTGCCAAGATGCATTTGTGGACATGGTAGGTCGTGGCTTGTTCCTTGTTGTCACCATCCGTAAAAGTAATCACGATGGTCCAATCACTAAAGGTTTCTTGTGGATCTCCTCTCCAAAAGAAGCCATCTACGCCTCGCTTGCCGCTCGGTTCCTCTGCGGATGAATGCGACGCTGCTGCGCGTTTCGACATTGTATCAGCCCTTGACGATTGCACAGAGCAGAGAAGAGATACCAACAACGAACCCAGCCTTTGCCAGAGGTTTTTGAAAGAGATTTGTGCTGCATACTGTACAAGGGCTCGGGCCTCGGCCTCGGGTACGTATTCCTGAGAGGGCCTCGGGTTTTGCAGTACCGTACGGAGAGGTTTTCTGCATGTTTGAATGTGATCGTGAGCGCGTTGGGGTTGTCATTGGCGCGAAGCAGGCGCAGGATACCGTACAGCTTACAGTACTCCGGTACACTGTGTACCAGGTACCGGTGCAATACATATCATAAGATATTGGGACACTCAGAGCTTCGGTATCTAGCTAGCTAGTCTATCTTAGCTAGCTACCAGGTAGTCGATGGACCGGCCCAGTTTTCCAATGGGCACGGTACGATACGGTACGATTGTACCGCAGTAGCTCACACTAACTCAAACCTCCATGCAAGTTCGTTTGACGGTGCCGCCTTTTGAGAGCAAGATCCATTGAGCAAGAGGCCTTGAATTGCATCATTCCATCTCGTAAGATTCCAACTAACTGGCTGCATCCATCCATTCATTACATAGCCTGTCCCATTGATCATCCCATGGGCATGTAGAATGTACTATTTGTGCGAACCTCTTCTGATCGGTACCTAGTACAGGAATGCATAAAATCTGCCAGCTACCGGTACCGGTACCACCGGCGCAACTAGTAGCTAGGCTCTACTTGTAGCACGGTACATGTATGTACCGGTACGAGTGCCAATCTCCGCGGATGTGGTGCCAAAGATAGCGAATGTTCCGTCGTTGGGACGATTGAAAGGATGAAAAAGAAGCCCGGCACCCACAGCATATTACAATCACACTCTATTAATGCTTCCAAAACACCTCGCTCGCTACTGCGCCCAACGCCTTGTTTTGGGTCCGTCTTTTGTTATCGTAATTAAGCCGACCATGTCACAAATTAAAGCGCGCCGTGTTATAATATCTTCAAAGCTGTAGATGATCATTTGACTATTGTCTTTGGTGTACCACTGAAGAATGGACCAACAAAATTTTGCCAGTGACAAATAAATCATCCAGCAGCATTCGGCAGCATCACGGCATCAGGTTGTGGTTGGATCGATAGATAGAAGGGAATGAATGCATGTGTGGGAAGCTGAAAATTTGTCGACTCAACTCATCCTCATCCTCATTCGGCAGTCTCCCTTGTACCTCTGGCTAGATTCGGTTCAGGCTGGAAGAACTGCATTCGGAGACGAAACAAGGACAAGCAAGATAGTCTCGACAACGGACGCCAAGACGGAGTCGGTTGGTCAGGTTTTTGTGGGGAGGAGGAGTTGCTGTAATAGTACAGTGGCTTTGCCGTAGAGGTTGGAGTGGATTGATTGATTGATTGATTGAAGTGTTGATTGAGGTGCCCGACAAAAGAAGAAGAAGAAGAAGACTTAGTCAAAACAAAGTACAACAATGGTGGACATTTGTTTGCCAAGTCCCGCTCCCAGCCATCGCCGCCCCATGAACGGCAACAATCCACAATCATCTCGATATGTATCTCCCGAACAAGCTCGCGACACGAGCAGTAGCTCTCCGGCATCGTCAAGTGGATATCGCGTGGACGGCCCTCATCAAGGCATTGGAACTCGATCTTGTTTTTCCATTTTTGGGTCGAGCCACAAGAAGATGTTGCATTCGCAGCAGTCGTCGTCCATTGCCACTAGTAACGACAGTCAACCCTTGAAGAATACAGCTCTCCAACAACAAGAAGAATTCGCCAAGACGTGGGAAGCGTTTCATCAGAATCGATTTGATCGACAAGTCAGTTCGCAATGGGATTACAACAACAATTCTACCAACTCTACCAATAACACTCCTCCCAATACAACTACACCAACGAGTACTACAGCTAGCAGTAGTACAGTCACCAACAGCTTTTCACTCCTGCAACCTCCCAAACCAACCGATCGAAGTCACAAACAACGGCTGAAATTGGAACAACAAAAACGAAAAGCAGGAGTCTACGACGGAGAAATGGAACCACAAGGAGTTAGAGGACAAGAGGCGTCGGCTGTTATGGAACAGTCCAACATTCCACAGTTCCAGCCAAGCAACACTGTCGCACAGAACCTCAGTGTCCGAAGCTTTGAAAATGCAACTACACCACCAGCAACAACAACTACACCTTTGTCCATTCGAAAATTGGAAACCATTGCCGAAGTCTCGGAATCCAGAGTCTCCGAAGGAGCGTCTGCCGACAATGACAGCAGTGTACAGTCGTGGGGATCATCTCATCAAATGTTTCATCCCAACACTACCGTCTTGCCACCCTCTCGACCCCAGTCGTCCAATAGTTTGGGATCGTTTGCCAACTATCAGTACTCACCCGTTCAACGACACGGTCTTCCCGTCGTGTCACCACGAAGTAATGATCCACCCGCCGCGTCCTTTGATACGAGTAGTTCCACGGACAGTGACGAAGATATACAACGCATGATGACGGACTTTTTGGGAAAATACAATTCCTACGGAGACAACACTCATCGTGCATCGCCCAATTCACAAACCAATCTCGCCATTATGAGACGAGATTATCCCAATCCGCTCCCTACCACGCAAAATGATGAACGAATACAGCCGTCACCACAACGTCAACAACAACAACAATCCAGACAAATACCGATACGGGTTGCCGAACCACGACAAATTCCCATTATTACGGAGGAACGACCGCCACCCAACAACAGGCGAGGAATTGCGCCCATTGCGGCACCCGATCATGATAGAATAGGATCAGTATCAGTATCACCTACCAGAAGAAATCATGCACAGTCGCAACAACGGGCCAATCATCAACCACCGCAAAATCAACATTCGCAAGACTCCTCGGAACAAGATTACGCACATCACAACCACCACAAGTATCAACAACAACAACAACAGCAACAGCAACAACAACAACAAGAATACTCATCCAAGTACCAACAGCAACAGCAGCATGAATATGAGCAACAGCAACAACAGCAACAGCATGAATATGAACAACAACAACAAGTGTATCAACAACAACAGCAACAACCATCATCGTCACCCCCACCATTTCATCCACAACACTCCCATTTGCCTCCACCAGAAGAATCGGTGGATGCGTGGAATGCACTCTCGCTGCAACACGTGCAAAATGGGGAATACGACATGGCATTGGCTGCGTTTCAACATGTACTACGAGCATACAAACTACAGTACGGGAATGTACATCCGCTCGTGGCGTCGGCATATCACAATCTAGGAACCGTCCATGCCAAACGAGCCCAATTGTTACTAGATGATACACTCCATCAACGACACTGTCGGGCACAATCCTTGCAGTGCTTTCAATCGGCAGCACGAGCGGCGCGTGATTCACTAGGACGAGATCATCCCAATGTCGCCGTGTCACTGGTACGCATTGGATTCTTGTTGTTACAAGCACGACAGTACAACAATGCCGTCATTACCTTTCAAGAAGCACTGCGGATACGACAAGTCCATTACGGACCGCATCATGCATTGGTGGCCAACTTGTACAATAATTTGGGTGTTTGCTACATGCATTTGGGACAATTTGCACATGGACGTGATTTATTGCAGCATGCCCTGCAGATTCAACGCACGCTATTGGCGCAAGCGGAAGAAGAAGTGGCGCAGGAAGAAAAGAAGGATGGTGGTGGAGGCGGAGGAAATACGGCCAATCAATCGTTGGAATTGGCGGATACATTGTTCAATATTGGGGGACTGGCGTTGGAATGGATTCGACGGCAAGGACCCGATGTTCGGCATGCGCAAGATGCCGAAGAGGCGTTTGAAGAAGCTTTGGAGGTGAGTGTTAACTGCTCGATCGAGGAGTACCGTATTTGTCGTTGTGGGCTGCTGTAGCGACTGTTTCGAATTGCCAGTGGGATGTCTGGCTGCCTTGTATATGGTACTCGCTTGAGCCACTGCATCGTGCTCACGTGCAAATGCGCTGTTTTGTTTAATTGTTGTGCAGCTTCGTAAGAGTGTTCTTGGCCCCAAGGACCCCATGGTACTGCAAGTGAAGTCGTTGTTGGATATGGCACGTTCGATTCCAAGACCCAAGTCACCGGGACGACGAGTAGCTGCTGGAAACACCAAGCCTACCAGAGGTAATGGAAACGTCAACTATCAGCCGTCGCGTCCGCCGGATCCCATGGGAGCCTCCCCGCAAGGCGCGGCTAATGCACGAAAGGGAGAACGCGACTCCAGCATGTCGCCTCCTCGCAGCAGGGGTGGTGCCAACAGAGAACAGCATCTCTACAATCGCAACAATAACCAAAGCGGAGATTCGGCGGACTTGACGGTACCCTACCAATTGAATCCTCGAGCAGCTACTATTGGAAGCAATTCTCCACTTCACTCGGCAGCATCGTCGTCATCCTCTCAAAACTCTCCTCCTCGATCGTCCGCTTCCTCGCCGCTTCGGTACAACAAACACGCTGATTACTTGGAGCCTCCTCCCAGAGTAAACCTTGGAAGGTCGTTGCTCGATCAAACCGACAACGATGGGCGTCCAGAAAAGCCACGACATGCTCTCTCACCCACCAATACTCACGTTGGACGTCAATCCTTTGCTTCGTCGTCGGCGTCTACCGTCAAGATTTCGCCAGGGCGACGCACGGACACGGAACCATCTCAACGACGCTTCACTGTGGAAGAATCAAAGTCTGTCTCTGTCTTTCGCCGAGAGACACATGTAGCGTCGAGCAGCAGCAACAACAACGACAAGAAAAAATCATCCAAGCAGCTCCAACCTCCACCAGTCATGGAGGTGACAGTTTCACAGGATGAAGAAGATGATGGGTTGTATGACCCGGCAGCTCTGCCGCAACCGCGAGCTCAAACTAATATTTTCATCAGTCCGCATTACGTCCCGCACATGTCACCCCACAAAGTCAACCAACGTGACGGTGAGTCGCCCATCTCCAAGGCATCGAGTAGCATTAGTGGAATGCCAGTGTCGGCTCCCAGAGCTTCGTTGCTGGAGGCGAATGGCGGTGCCGTTGTTAAGTCGTACTCGTATGACGCGGAGGAATCGTGTTTGCTGACAGAAGGAAGGAGCGGCAACACCCCCTCACAAGACGGATACGATGCATTGCAGTCGCTACCATCCTCCAACTCGCCCAACCGTGAAAAGGTCAAGGACAAGAGCGGGCGAAAGATCATGGTGGTCAGACCATATCGAAGCACCCCGACCAACGAACCCAACGCACCCCCCGCTTCTGTGGTGTCATCCTCGTCCAACAGGCATAGTCCTTGGGAAGACACCACGGCCGAGGAAGGCGCAACGGAGACGAAAGAGACAACGGCCTCTGGTTTGTACAGCAGTGATCTGGAGTATTCCTCCAAGACGTCTTCGTACGCACGAGATGCTAGGCAGAGCGAACGCAACGCCACCTTGGACCGTGCTCGAGCACTGTTGCAGAACCATCGAGAGTACATGGATTCTCCTCAAGTTCAGTTGAATGGCACTCCACCGTACCTGAGCAACGCCCACTCTCCCGACCGTGTCAAACAACGATTGTTTCGACAAAAGAATGATGTTAGAGACTTTGACGAAGACATTGAAGATGGATTGGCGCCGTTGGGTATGGGGTATGCTGCTTCAGTCTCACCGTCGAAAACGTATTTCCAAAAAGGCATGCTCACCAACCGCCCCAGCGAACATATGCGGGAAATCTATGAAGAAGGTTCCAGGCTTTTGAAGGTACGACTCGGCCAGGTTCATTTTCGTTCGTTTTCCTTGACTTCGTTTCATGTTCTAACCTTCCTTTCGTTGCCGACAGAATCATCAATACGAAGAAGCAGCCGAGTGCTTTGAAGTTATTCTTCAGTGTCAACGGCGAAAGCGTGGACCTTACCATCAGGACGTTGCGTCCGCGTTGCACAACTGTGGCCTAGCTCATCTACGAGCTGGGGGTCATCACACGGCCCTCAAGTCCTTCGAGGAAGCCGTGCGTATCCGTAAAGGGACTCTAGGCAGAGAACACCCTCATGTTGCTGTGAGTCTGTTTCCACCAACGGAATCGCTTTTTCTTTTCATTCGAACCAGCAATGTGGTTGATCTGACCTTGTTTTCCGCTGTAGGCATCGTTGGTCAAATGTGGCATCACTTTCTTGCTGTTGCATCGCTTTGAGGAAGCCCTATGGAGTTTTCGTGAAGCTTTGTCTATCCGCAAGCATTCTCTGGGGGCGCTCCATCCTTCGACTGCACGCATCTACAACAACATTGGTTGCGTTCATGTAGAGTTCAACGAGTTGCGAGAAGCACGTAGAGCCTTCGAAGGTGCACTGGATATTCAGCGCAATGCTCTCTGTCATGACCCCGAAAGCGGCCCGGTACGGTTTGGCGCAGCCGCAACTCTTTGCAACCTCGGTAAGAAATTGGTGGTGCTGGCGACCATTTCACATCAACACATCCATCTGACACATTCTTCTGTTTCTGTGGTGCAGGCTATCTCTACCGATACAGAGGAATGCACGAGCGAGCGTCTCGAGTGTTGAGAGAAGCTGCGGAAGTAAGTGCTTTCTTGGCGCGTCCAGACGGGTTGCGATACCTCCGTCTGACTGTTTCTGTTTCTCGTTGTCTTTTGCAGATCCAAGAGGACATTTTGGGTGCCACGCATCCAACCGTTCTCTCTACCCTTGATAGTCTTTCAGAAGCTCTAATGAATAGCGGACAGAGTGATGATGCGTACAAGACACTGGAAACAATTCTGGAGCGTTTCCGTTCCGCAGAGGCACCGGGCAGCCGTAGACTTGTTCGCGCCGAAGCGGGTCTCAAATACAAGATGTCCCTTGCGGCCAAGCAGATCAACAATCGAGAAAGTCAGATTCTGAATCTTCAACAAGCACTTCAGGCAGTTCGTTCTCTTGATGAAAAGACCGATGCAGCACGAAGTCAAAAGGATTCCTTGGAAAAGAGGATTCTCTCGGACTTGAGAGAGGCTAGGGGATCGATGGAAACTAACGAATTGAAATGGGTATAGGCAGGGCAGACAGCAGTACCAGTAGTCGGCTGCTATAGCCTTAAATGACAACGAACTAGTTCGGTTGGTTATGAACAGGCCGTGTCAACGATGGTAGTTGAGGTGCACGTACATCTCGGATGATTCGTTGCAGCGCAGCACAGCGAGTCCCTTCAGTCAGCTGGAGTTGTATACTACAGCTGGCAGGTCAGACCGGGGCGAATGGCCAACTATGACAGAGCGTACTAATTCGTAATCGTAAGGTCGAGTTTTGGGTGTGTACATAACATGAAGAGTTTAAAATGCAACAATGGTGTGGTATCTAAGCTTGTCAAGTTGGAGCGCAGTTCCAAGTTTTTCGCGTGTCATTGGACCTATCCTTTCACTGCAGATTGTTTGGTCTCTGAGTTCTCTGGTAAAATTATACATGCACGTCAAAGAACCACCCTTCAGAATCCACTCCGTAGCTATGGGAATAATGCGGTGCATCTGTGTAATGACAACGACGCAAAACGGCGGCCAGTCCACCAACGTTGGAGTTGAAAGTTCCCACAAAGTACGTGGCATCTACGAGGACCGAGAATTCCGTCAAGAATTGAAGGGTATTGTCCCGATTGGTACGGGCATCAGCAGCGTGTCCCTGTTCGTTTGCACTCGTGAGGGTATAAACTTGACATGTGATACCATGCGAGACCAAGGCATTGGTAATTTCGCCAATGGAGGAATAATCGTCGGTTGCAATAAAGCAAGCCTCCATACTTTGAGCACCCCCCTTGGCTGCCTTGACGAAGGTAGTGACGTATTCTTCTCCGGTATAGGCCCGCGATTCTTTGAGCTTGACCTTATCGCCCCGACGAACGTGAAAGGCGACGGATTTCACCTGGGTAAAATCGGGAATGCTGTTTTGATTCAAGAGTGTTCGGAAAGCCTGTCTGGCTTGGTCATTGAATTGTAAATTGGCACAGCCTTCGACAACCATCCGATCGTATAGATCGCCGAAGTTGTGTTTCTTGTTGCTGTAGGCATTCTTGAATCGCTTGCGATAGCTCCTGTCGATTGCAATCACCGCATCAAAATGACCTGCGGGATCCGTGTACTTGCCGCCCATCCTTCCTATGATATCCCCGGCCGTGGGAGCCCCAAAATTCGAAGGCATCACCTCATCCCAAGGAAGTACTGACAAGCTTGTTGGTGAAAAGAATCCCTTCAACAAGCCCGTGTTAGCATCCCATCTATAACCGTATTCGGAATCCACCACCATAAATCCATCATGTTTTCCATCGGCAAAGTAAATTTTTTGCGCCATCATGTTCATCAATTGACTGGTCACTCCAGACCCACTCAAGAGAACAATGCGCTGATGATGTTGATTAATCATTGTAACGAAGTCTTCTGGTTTTGATGCAGGAGGTGCTTCAGGAGAAGGGGCAACTGCCTTTGCTCCTCCGTTGGGTTTGGGAGAAGCAGGCACGCCCTGACCATCACACTTAGCAAAATTGAAGGTATCGCCAAAACCTTCAAAATATGTACAGGCAGCATAACCTGCTGGTCTGCAAGACCAATAAGAATTGTGATGCTTGATTGCCATGCTTGGGTCTCCTCCCGAGCCGGAACTGCCAACCCAACGACAGAAGTCTTGACAGCAGCCATCATTATTCAAAGAATACCAGCCAGTGTATGGATCCTGACCGCTGTGAACCCCGTTGTCGAGAGTGGAAGGGTTTGCTGCTGCACAAACACCATCAGCTGGAGCTGGAAGCTGAGTACATGTTTCCCCATCTTCCTCTTCAAGAGACTCTTCCAATTCTTCCGGGGTCTCTTCTTTCACTGGAGGAGGAGGGGCCGTCTCTGCTTCTACAACTGGTTGGGGAGCAGCAGGCAAACCCTGCCCGTCACACTTAGCATAATTGAAGGTCTCGCCAAAACCTTCAAAGTATGTGCAGGCAGTGTACCCAGCTGGTCTGCAAGACCAATACGAATCCCGATGCTTGATTCCCGCGCTTGGGTGTCCGCCTGAACCACTACTGCCAACCCAACGACAGAAGTCTTGACAGCAACCATCATTATTCAAAGAAAACCATCCAGCATATGGATCTTTACCCCCATGAACGCCATTGTCAATCATTGAAGGGTTTGCTGCTGCACAAACACCATCAGCTGGAGCTGGAAGCTGCGTACAAGTTTCCCCATCTTCCTCTTCCAGAGACTCTTCCAATTCTTCTGGAGTCTCTTCTTCTTCTGGCTCGGGAGTAGCAGGCACACCCTGACTTTCACACTTAGCAAAATTGAATGTATCGCCAAAACCTTCAAAGTATGTACAGGCTGCGTAACCTGCTGGTCTGCAAGACCAATAAGAATCGCGATGTTTGATTGCCAAGCTTGGGTCTCCTCCCGAGCCAGAACTACCAACCCAACGACAAAAGTCTTGACAGCAACCATCATTATTCAAAGAATACCAGCCAGCATATGCATCATTACCCCCATGCACGCCATTGTCGAGAGTAGAAGGGTTTGCTGCTGCACAAGAACCATCGGCTGGAGCTGGAAGCTGAGTACAAGTTTCTCCGTCTTCCTCTTCCAGGGATTCTTCCAATTCTTCTGGAGTCTCTTCATTAATTTCTTCCGCTGGAGGAGGAGGGGCTGTCTCTGCTTCTATTACAGGGTTGGATACAGCAGGCAAACCCTGACCGTCACACTTTGCAAAATTGAAGGTCTCACCAAAACCTTCAAAGTATGTACAGGCTGCATAACCTGCTGGTCTGCATGACCAATAAGAATCGCGATGTTTGATTTGAAGGCCTGGATCCCCTCCAGAACCACTACCACCAACCCATCGACAAAAGTCTTGACAGCAACCATCATTATTCAAAGAATACCAGCCAGCATATGCATCCTTTCCCCCATGCACGCCATTGTCGAGCGTTGAAGGGTTTGCGGCGGCACAAGTACCATCGGCTGGAGCTGGGAGTTTAGTACAAGTTTCACCGTCTTCCTCTTCTAGAGACTCTTCCATTTCTTCTGGAGTCTCGTCTTCTTTATTTTCTTCTGCTGGTGGAGGAAACACCTCAACCTCAGCAGGTGGGGAAGCGGGTGGATTGAGTGAATTTTGTGTCTCGCCATTTTTTTCTTCTTCTTGAGTCTCTCCCAATTCTTCCGGAGTCTCCGATTGATTTTCTTGGGCTGCTGGGATTTCTGGAGGGTACTCTGTGTTTTGCTCTTCTGCTGGAGCATGACCTCTCAATAAACTATTTTCTTGGTCTTCTTTGCATTCCTTGCCTCCCAAACGGAGTAGTTTTGGGAGGTGAATATCATCCTTGGCAATGCTTAGGATCACCATCAAAATTACCAAGAAAATGGCCAGCATCTTCAGCCGGCCTTCGGCAGCAGCAAGTCGCATCATCTTGATGGAATTTTAATTTAATTTATTTCAAGCGGTCCACGAAAGTAAAACCCAACAAACAAAAAGAAGAAGAAATGAGCCACTGCTGGGTTTGCGTCAGTGATCGCTTGTGAGCCAGAAGCTGGCATCCAATAGGACGCGGAACCGCGGATACTTCAACTGTAAATACTTTGATACCAGATTTGGAGAAGTGAGATGCTTCGGACTACTCGTGACTCTTCCGGCGTCTCATTCGATAACCCTTCAAGAATATCCCTCCACGAAGTGCTATCCATGGCAATGCAACCACAAAGATCTCTCATCAGTTGGTTTTCTTGGCTTGCGCAACTCTACTAGGTCTAGTACATCTCCAAGAATGGTTCAGGCCCGTCCAGGCTACTCCCTTCCTATGACTTTCTTAAAAGAAATTAATAATATCGATAACATTCTCTAAAACCGGCCATCGTTCAAGGCCGGTATCTCGCACCGGTACAGTACCACCCCAGTACGGCACAAAATGATAGGAGCTTTGGGCCCACCCGCCCCGATATCGGGAACTGGAGTTTTTCAAGTATTCCTGCCCAACCGTGTTAGGAACTATTTGGAGTGACAATGGCCTGATAGTACGGTACGAGCCAATCCCATCGGGCAAAGTTCTTGATCTACGGTATCCCCTTGCCGGTCGTCTGTTGAAAAGGCATGACACCGGAACGGGCTCAGTGGACTGGAATAGAAGCCAGAACTATTAGGATAATGGAGTTGCTTGTACTCTAAATCCGTACGGTATCGTTGAAGCGATGCACCGTATGTACCGTATACCCTGGATGCGTCCATCGATTGATTGCACGGATGCTGAAGCAGTGCCGTCTTTTGCATTTGTGCGTCTTTGTGGATGTAGTGAATGCCTGGCATCCATCCTGTCATGGACAATTCGATTCTGGCTGCCGCAATATCAGTTGCCAGTTATTTATGGAACGAAGCGGCCATGAATTTTCGCAAGGCCAGCCGATACAAACGTCTTTTGCCAGAACCACAAAAATGAAGAGAAGAGAAGAGAAGGAACAGCACTGTGCTATTCCTCTTGTCGACTGACCAAAGCAGAAGTATGGTGGGGTCAATTTCTATGGTACGGCATGTCTCTCTGCATGGTTACAGTACTCGTAGGGTCTGTATGTTCGGCCAAGCGCGCTCATGGCCCTGGTGTTTGGAAAAAACAAGCCGACGATGGAAACAGAGGATCGACTCGACTCCCACAGCTTCACCAACTTATATTTTTCGAAGTGTGACCGGGCCTTTAAATATTTTTTGAGTCATATTTCGCACTTAAATAGATACTGTAAATAGTGTCTCGGATGCTCGAAAAAGGCATTCACTTCCCCAACGCAAGTGTGTCTCAATGTCAACACTGACTAAAATTGTCGAATGGTTCTCGAACATGGTCCGCTCAGCGGTTGCAATCGCATCAGGACAGTCCTCAATGTATTTTTCCTTTTTCCCACCACCCATCGCGCCACAACAAGTCTCTGTCTTCTTTCTTTCTTCTTTCTAAAGAAACCGAATAAGCACACTGAAGCCCTGATCAAATAAATTAATTACTCAGTAAAAAGACTAACAACAAGATGGGCCAGCAACAACAACAACCACAGCAACCAGTACCACAAGACGACCGATCGCGGCATATCACGCTGCAAGGGTTCAATCGGGTTCCGTTAGTCTGTTTTGCGTTGATGGTGATTACGCTGCTCATGCTATGTGTCGTAAATGTCGACGATGGGACCGTGACGCTACCGGCCGGGTTGGGTTCCTTCCATTATCAACGCGTGTACACCACCAAAAATACAGATAAGCACAAAGATGCCAAGATTTGCTACCCACAAGTCGTATTGGAAGAAGATGATTTTGACAATTTCCAAGTATTGGGGGGATCGGATACTACTACTACTACTACTACTACTACTAGGAGCTCCTGGAATATGGGAACCGTCTCCAATAGTATCGAGTTGAACACGAATTTCTTGGGACCTCTCGGACAAGGACACGATCAGGTATCCAAAGAATTTGACATTCCCGTCTTGGCGGCATCTTCGCAACAACATCAACTACCCATTCCTGCCAGCAATGTCACTGTGGAATTCAAACTGTACCAAATGAACGACTGGAGTAGTAGTAGTAGTGCTGATGAGGACGACAAGATGTTGGTACTCATCAACAATGTCCAAATTGATCTGGGAGACATGACGGTCCATCAGCCATTTTCGGGAACTGAGGGAAACATTGTCTGGGAGCGCAGTGCTCCTCTTCAGGAACAGAGTGAGGACGCGAAAATGCCAGTGGTATACAAGGTTCGCATCACTGTTCCCTCGAGCTCTCTCCCGGGCAATCGATTCACGCTCAAATTTCAAACCGCCACCTCCAAGCCAATCTTGGAGCAGAGTGCCGGAATTGACGATTTAATCATTACCGGATTCTATCAATGTCAACAACAAGAACAGCCGCAACAATCGCCACACAAGAAGATTAATAATTCGACAGCCCCGGTCGAATCGACTCCGGAACAAACTCCAACGGCAGCAGCACCCGCTACCCCCAATCCAGAAGTGAAGGAAAATACAGAAGACGAGACTCCAGAAGAAATGGAAGAATCTCTGGAAGAAAATGGTGGCGAAACTTGTGCCAAGCTTCCAGCTCCAGCCGATGGTGTTTGTGCCGCCGCAAACCCTTCCACTCTCGATAATGGTGTTCATGGGGGAAAGGATCCATATGCTGGCTGGTATTCTTTGAATAACGATGGTTGCTGTCAAGATTTCTGTCGTTGGGTTGGTGGTAGTGGTTCCGGAGGGGATCCAGGCCTTCAAATCAAACATCGTGATTCTTATTGGTCATGCAGACCAGCAGGTTACGCCGCATGTACATACTTTGAAGGTTTTGGCGATACATTCAATTTTGCCAAGTGTGACGGTCAAGGTATGCCTGCTGTATCCAAACCAGTAATTGAAGCAGAGACAGCCGCTCCTCCTCCGCTGGAAGAAATCAAAGAAGAGGAGACTCCACAAGAAATGGAAGAATCTCTGGAAGAGGAAGATGGGGAAACTTGTGTGGAGCTCCCAGCTCCAGTTGATGGATCTTGCCCTGCGGCAAACCCTTCTATGCTTGACAATGGCGTTCACAGCGGTCAGGATCCATACACTGGCTGGTATTCTTTGAATAATGATGGTTGCTGTCAAGACTTTTGTCGTTGGGTTGGCAGTTCCGGCTCTGGGGGAGACCCAAGCATGGCAATCAAGCACCACGGTTCTTATTGGTCTTGCAGACCAGCAGGGTATACTGCATGTACATACTTTGAAGGTTTTGGCGATACATTCAATTTTCCCAAGTGTGACAGCCAGGGTGTGCCTTCCACTCTGGAGCCTGAGCCAGAGGAAGAAGAAGAGACTCCAGAAGAAATGGAAGAATCTCTGGAAGACGAAGATGGAGAAACATGTACTCAGCTTCCAGCCCCAGCAGCTGGTACTTGTGCAGCAGCAAACCCTTCCACTCTCGACAATGGCGTTCATGGTGGTAAGGATCCATATGCTGGCTGGTTTTCGTTGAATAACGATGGCTGCTGTCAAGACTTCTGCCGTTGGGTTGGAAGTAGTGGTTCTGGAGGGGATCCAACCAATCAAATCAAGCATCGTGATTCTTATTGGTCATGCAGACCAGCAGGTTATTCCGCTTGTACGTACTTTGAAGGATTTGGTGATAGTTTCAATTTTGCCAAGTGTGACGGCCAGGGTGTGCCTGCTACACCCGAGCCAGAAGAAGAAGAAGAAGAAGAAACTCCAGAAGAAATGGAGGAATCTCTTGAAGAGGAAGATGGGGAAACTTGTACTCAGCTTCCAGCTCCAGCAGCTGGTACTTGTGCAGCAGCAAACCCTTCGACTCTTGACAACGGTGTTCACAGAGGTCAGGATCCATATGCTGGATGGTTTTCTTTGAATAATGACGGTTGCTGTCAAGACTTTTGTCGATGGGTTGGTGGTAGTGGTTCAGGAGGAGACCCAAGCTTGGGAATCAAGCACCGGGAATCGTATTGGTCTTGCAGACCAGCAGGGTATTCTGCCTGTACATACTTTGAAGGTTTTGGCGAGTCCTTCAATTATGCGAAGTGTGATGGTCAGGGTGTGCCTGCTGCCCCCAAGCCGGTGGTAGAAGCAGAGACATCCCCGCCGCCTCCAGAACCCCCAGCAGTGGAAGTTAAACAAGAAGAGACTCCCCAGGGTGTACCCGCTGACCCCTCTGCACCTCAACAACAAACAGTCTGGGAACGACTCACCAGCAAAGGGAGAAAGACAATCACAGTTCTGGAAGGATCCGGATTGGGCAGTCAAATGATCAACATGTTGGCACAAAAGATCTACTTTGAAGCCCACGGAAAGGAATACTTTGTCGATGACACAGAATACGGATATCGATGGGACGACAACACCGGAGTATTACAGGGATACTTCACGCCTCAGTTCCCTGTCCTTCAAAGGAGCGATTGGCAACAAATGACTAGCTTTATGGGAGTTCCTCCGCGCAACGTGATTTTCAACACGAATGATGTCTATCGCGATGGGGCTATTGAAATCATCAAGTCGATTCGCTTTTCTCAGCGCAAACATTTTCGAAAGGAATTCAAGCACGATCACTTTGGGCTCATGGTACCGGAGGCATGCAAGCACTTGCAATTCAATCAGCGTGCCAAACAAGAGTTTAAAACGTTGATTGACGCCAACAATATTCCCAATTTGCGCAATGTATCTTCGGCTGCCTTTCATATCCGTCGTGGAGACAAGATCCTCGCGCACGAATCTATTGTCTATTCGGGTGCCAACTACGTGCTCAAGCTTCTGGAGGCAGTGGGAGAACAAAAGATTGATCATTGCTTTATTTCATCGGGAGACTATGCGGCGGTAGAAGAAGTCCAGGCAGCATTGCAAGAAAAACAGGTTGGTTGCCAGGTCCATACTCTCACCCAACAAGCTGAGCACGGTGCCGATGAGTCGGTGAGCAGAACTAATCGTGCCAATACGGTCCAGTTCTTGGCGGAAATGTCACAGTTGATTGATGCCACCTTCTTTGTGGGGACCTTCAATAGCAACGTGGGATCCATGGCGGCGTTGCTACGTGCCTGCATCTACCCCAAGAAAAGGTATGGCAACTCCTATGGGGTCGACACGGACGACTGGTACTATGTTCGCCATCGCGACTAGAACAAGAGAACAAAAAGAGTTGCAAGCATTCAGCTCTCAGGCAACTCTGAAAGGTGTCAACAAGGACACATGCTTCACCGCTGCATGTCATGTATTAGCAGCAACGCATTTTGGTTTACTAGTAGATGCATTTTCCTTTCTTCCGTTCTTTCCTTGTAATGTTGGAGCTCTGAAACATCTATTGAAACATGACCAGGGTGCCTTCGTTTCCGCCGGGACTCATCCCGATGGTCAGCTGGCATGTCTGTTGGCTGAACCCAGAGAGACGCGGTATGTTTGAACTGGTCGGGGGTACTACGGTATCCGCAGGTTTTCAGGTTTTCAACAGTGCTGTGAGGCTGTTGGCATTCTGCCTATCTTAGTTTACAAGTTTCTAATCGTTGCATACGTATCTACGCACCCCTCATGCTAATAGGAAAGGTTCGCATCTCCCTGGGCTTTGTGATTGGTCTCTCCTGGTTTGCATTGGGGTACTCCGCAAATGTTTGATATAGCTCTCCCGAACACGTACAGTACCGATCCACAGTTTTGATCCTTTATACTCCGCCACCGGAACACTACGGTACATGCAGTTGGGTGCCTTCTGGTGTAGGAAAACAATGTAGCTTACCCTCTACTCCAAAAAATGAAAAAGAAATCAGAAGAAATGAAGTCAAAATCTCTCAATGACAAACCCAAAAGCCACAAGCCACAAAAGAATGCAAGAGATAGGTATGGTAGTGGAAGCACGTCAGATTTCCTGCGCAATTGAGCAGGCGACGCATGAACAGGATCCTGTATGAACAGAACTCCAACGTCCGGTTCAATAGCACAGGAGCCTGTTCAATTGCACAGGAATCGCGGCCTGTTAGGCCTGAATTTGGCTGCAGGATTGCTCTCTAAAACTCCTGTTCATGTATGCACAGACCGTATGTAGTGCTGCTGTCTACCCCCTGTCTACCGGAGCTGTACCAGTATACCGGTACGGAAAGTTTGGAAATGCGTTTGTGGAGTGATTAGTGTACATATCGAAGGAATGCACTTGGCCATCTAATTAGTTCTGCTCCGTTCTGGTTTCTGGGCGCTTTTCGCAGAGAGCGAGCCTAAAGGGAAGAATGGAGACCACGATGGGGTAGTTATGGCTTGTTGCTTGTTGTCGCCAAGTTTGTTTGATTGACAGGACGGGTGCTCCAACAGCAGGATCCAGCAATAATCCGGGACGGGTACTCCAGCAGCAGGATCCAGCAATATCCAGCCTATCGTAGCTAGCGAGGCAGAATAGTGCATGCCGATGCCGTCATCGATGCGGTGTTGCGATATTCGACGCCACAGCGTTCTTTGCACGATGCCTATACCCAAACATTTGTTCCATGCCCCACGTTCATCAGACACAGTGGTTCAGTTTGGTCGCGTTGGTTTGCTGGAAAGGAGCTACTGGTACTACGGTACCGGTACTTGCTTCAGCTCTTGCCTCTACCGGTACCAGTGCGTAGTCCGTGGGAAGTGCCACAGTACCACCGGTGTTGTCAGTCTCTCTTCGCTTCTTCTTCAACTTCAACAACTTTCGAGGGCACATCCCTCCTCTCGATGATTTCGGTTGACAGCGGGAGCATAGATCAGTTTGAGCCGCATTTTGCCTTCGAGTGTTACTGTACCTTTAGGCCAGCGACCTTTGGTTGACAAACTTGTCTAAACTGCAAGTCTCAGACTATAGAGCGATAGCAAGGCCAGCGAGTCCAACTATCGTCCTATCATGCACATAACCGACTGTATTTGTCATATGCGAAGAGCAAGCTGAATGTCTCCGCCTCAGACCATCACGCTGCTTTGAAATGCACATGTTGCGGACTCGGATGTGACCGGCGCAGTGGACAACGAAGGAGGAAGCACAATATGATTTCAAATCAGTACATGCGGTGCTGAAGGCATCAAAAACGCTGCTACCGCCAATAGGAGCTTGCCGAAACTCTTGACACAAGTCGTCGGCAGGAAAAGGATCGCTTCTGCGAATGGTTATACACCTGAAGATTCTGCTTCTTGCTGGTGCTAACTTGGCCGAGCCGACCGGATGCATGCTTGTTCGTGGTGGACGACCATGGAGTACCTGGTATCGGTATGTCCGTGTGGCCTCCCTACTGCATCTTGTGACGGCTTCTTTCTACGTCTTTTCCGGTAACAGTATTAACCTCATGTAGGACGACAATGTTTTCTAGGAGCTCTTCCGGTGAAGCCAACGATGGACACATCATCATCGTCGTCGTCGTCGTGGCGGTCGACATCGTCAAATGTCGCAAGATGATACCCTTCGAGCATTGAGTTTGCATTTCATTTCAAAGAACTCATCGATTCATGTTGTCGAGCAAGTCCCAGAGTGACTCCCTTTTCTTGGTCGCCGAAGCTTCAGCCGATACGGGCCACTGTTTTGATACAAGGGTGAGTTCAAGCGGGAAATGATGATTTGCCAACGGTGGAGGACAGCTTGGCCGCAGCAACTACTACGCTGTGTGGTACCGGTACCTGAAGTGGAGAGTCGAGTGCGGGATATCTCGTCCACTGAGGTTTTCTCTCGCCCCTGTCTCCGCACGCACGGAATGTGTCCAGATAGAGGCAACCCAGTAACAAGCGATCAATTTGCTGGCTGTTTCTATTAGGTGGCTGCTTGGAGTTTTGTTGAGCCTGAGAGCTTGCAATCATAAAAAGAAGCAGATACACAGATAGATGCAGATTCATGTTTTGGATTGACATTCGACACGTTCAACCAAACAACGGCAGGAGTGTATTTCTGTAGTTGCATTATCAGCAATGGAAGCACAAGCATCCACCGAGACAAGGAACATATTCAAACACATATTGTCTTGTTGTGACAGTGAGCTGGACACGTTAAATTTCCGCCACGAGTTCGTACGACACCTCTACAGGAACCCGCAAGGCACACGTGCAATGTAGGTTGGTCAACCGCCTCGTCCTGATTTCGTAACCGTACACTCATGTTCTCTAGTACTAGTATTCTAGAACTAGTTATCAGGTTGATGACGAGTATTGCCAGTACTGAGAAATAGCCCCCCTGCAACGCGGAGGTAAACCAGTCTTCTCGATAGAGTCTTCAACCATTTCTTTATTGTCCTGGTCGTTGGTGTGCCCTGCGCCTCAACCAAGTAATGTTCGTACTGGAAGCCGCAAGACTACATCAGACATCTCGCTTGCTAGCCTACCGCTGCAGCAACTAACTTCTCCGACCCAGACCCAATAGGATCAAACTTCAACCCCATTGAGCACCTACCGGTACATGTGGCTTATATGCTGAAGTTCTATCACAGTTCTCGTCGATTTGCCTGACAATAAGCTGCCCGACTTCATCAGACATCCAGCTTGCTACCGTAGCCTGCCGCTGCAGTAGATGACTTTAGACTCCATAGGCTCAAAATTCAACCCCATTGAGTATCTACATGGATAGCAACCTTATTTTCTGAAGTCCTAGCTACTAGAGCTGACATCGCTTGTCCAGTAAAACCAAACCAGACATCAACAGCAGTGAGAAGTGTGACTGCACCTGCTTCCCGAAACACTCGCGCTGAAAGAACACAATCAACAAACCAGTCACAGTTTGGCTTCGTCTCAGGCCATTCACCCTTTCCTCATCGCTCCCATAATCGCTTTGGCGTCCACCTTGCACCAGCCAACATGCAACAATTATTTGAGAAAAAACTTGACTTTGGCAAAAGGCCGCGGTCCCCACACCGACGCGATCCAACTGAGTGCAACATCTTCTGCTCGGATTTGGTATCTTTTTCGTTCATTGAGAAAGAGCTGAAACGAATTGAAAACAACCTTGCTGTGTACAAACTAGAGATTGAAGACTTGATCACAGCCGGGCGACGTCACCGTGCTTGCCTGCCTCATCTCATGCGGGTGATCCTGTCCGAAAAGCGTGATTGGCTCTATGTGCGGTTTGTGGACTCGTTTGCCTTGGACGCCTTTCCGAGCTGGCGGGAAGCAAAGAATACAATAATGCTCAAGTTTGAAGAGCGAGGAGCCAGTTTCTCACCAAAGTGGCAGGATACAATCACATGGAGAACCAGCATTAGCATTGAGATAGGAACCAAGGCTCACGAGATAGTAAATCTCTTTGAAAACATCAAGCAAGATCGGCACATTGTAAATCTCAGCTTTCACAATGGAGCCGGGGAAAAGGTTTGCCCAGAGGAACTGGTGCAACTTCTCGATTGGTCTCATGCCGATGGCTTGCTGACGAGCGGAGTCACGGTGAGCCTTCAGTGCGGGTGGTCCGGCAATAGCAACAAGCATTCCATCAAGCATCTCTTGAACTATTCTACTCGTCTCCTGAAGAGATCAGAAAAACTTTGGTCTTCAAGTTCTAAGGACTCACAAAGCCGCACTCCCAGGGGCAAAAGTGAGAGAAAAAGAGCCTCCAAAAGCAAGGGATGCCCCACAGGAGCAGCCATTGTAGCTTCCAAGACACAACAAGGCAAAGCCAACGAGTCTTTCGCCGCCTTCTCTGGTTCCATTCGGGCCTTGAGAAGAAAGCATTCGGGTGGCAAACTTTGTTGTAAGAACAAAAAGGCAGATGGCATACAGAGCAAGGCAAGAGGAAAGCGAAAGGTCCAAGGAAGGTCCAAAAGCCAAATCCTACCAATTGTCAGAACATCGACTCGCGTGGTAGACCAAGAGATGCAAGAAATTGCTAGAAGTAGCAGCCTATCTGACCTCAAGGCACTAAAGAGGTCACTAGACAAGGCTATTGCACAAAAGCAGCTAGAGGAGGAGGTTGCTAACAACGGGGAAGACTTGCCAGACTATGACTGGGCAAGTGGAGCCTTTCTGAACCACCCATGCCGTGTGCCGAAGGCAGCTTAAAAATCGCCCACCTACGTACCGGTATCATAGTTATCTAATGATAGATTCTACCATTGAAGACAGCTATGTAGTGTCCTAAAGCATACAACAGCTCCCTAAGATAGCTGAGGGAAGAGATACCGGTTCCAGTGGATAAATTTGTTGTGAAGTGCGAAGACAATGTGAACATGATCAAGAAATAAATGATGTGGACAACGGCTCCGTCGCAGGAGTTAATTTTTAGGGGGATTTAGGCACCAAGAAAGGGGGGGGAGCAAGAAAAGGGAGAAGGCAAGCAGCACAACCAAGAGAGGGCTTGTGGATTGATTACTCAGAGTATCAGCAAGAGACGTTGATGATAGCAGGGCTATTAGTTAGCTCTCTGGGCTTTTCCACCTGACCAAAAACAACTCGGACGTCTTTGAAAAGAAAACAATCTACGCCCTGATCCGACATTATTCAAGACACCCAACTGACTAGCTTGGAGGCTTGGAGGAATAAACTTCCAGCTAGCATCGAATCAGGAAAACTAAATTATCCATGTTATTACTAGCTAGCTACTACATGTACTACCAGCTACTGGCCTGGAAACAGCACCAAACAAGTGTAGAATTGGCGCGCCACCAGAAGTTGAAGACTCAACATTGACAAAGGATACCGGCTCCTAGTAGCAGCTAGTAGCCAGCTCTAGCTAGAGCACACTCCATCAAACCAACAAGACAAAATGCCAACAGTACCGTACAGTACTAATACTCGAGCTAACTAGAGCTACTGAGTGCTGACGATGTAGAAAGGAAACGTTGATGAAGGAGCTGATGAAGGTGCCTTTCCACCTGCAAAAATATTAATCAACTCGGATGCCTTAGAAGAGACCTGGCTTGCTTGGCAAGGTCCACAGTGACGGAACACGATGGACCGGTGGTAGCACAACTTTGCGAAAACTGATTTTTGAGATGCATACCGGTATCGGGATGCTTCGATTCATGCAGATCCAGAACATTTTTAGTCGCTGTTGTTTCAAGTAAGACACATTGAATCACAAATAACTCTGAACGAGAAAAAGACTGTTCGGAAAGGCTTAATCCCTTCTACTGCTTCTGGTACTATTTTGGGTATAGTGGGCCTTTCGACTACCTATTGCAATCACGAATGGCACAAAGGTTATGTGAATCAGTAAGCCGTTGTTAACTCCATTAATCCTGATAGAGTCCCGCTTTCTAAGGGAGGGCTTTATTCTTCGATAATGCCATGCAACTCGTGACAAAATCACAACGAGCATCTGGAATCAAAACCGCTTTGAGCTTGGTCCTGGTGGCAAAGGTCGGTTGCCTCATTCCACCAGTTAGCCAGAAAGAAGTGGCTCTGTTACATCGAAGTGCACAATTCGAAAACCTTCTTCAAACAACAACCAAACAACCATGATGAACAAGGCAGCAACACTCCTGTCGACTGTGCTGTTACTAGGGTCGGCTCAGGCAAATTTACTGCCAGGAGGGCCCACCGATCCGGAACCCACCGATCCTTGTGAGCCAAAATGCTGCTTGCAGCCACGACGAAAAGAGCTTGAGGCCGGTGAGCTCTTTGTCAAGGAAGCCCACGAACGTGCTTTGGAGGAGGAGGACGCTCCTCTCATGTGCGGTGACGAACCGGCTGGATATTCCTGCTTTTCCGAATATGAGTTTTGTGAGGGATCATGTGGGGTTGACTATGCTGATGTAAGCTATGTTTTACGTCATTGCAGATTTCCATTGGTGTGTCTGCGTGAACTCACTTCTTCATTCCCTTTGTCTAAACCCAACCTTGACTTTTCCAGTATTGCGGCAATTTTGGAGGACTCGTGTGCTATCCTAATTGCCCCACCGATCCTCCACCAACGGACCCTGAACCAACCGATGGTGGATGCTGTGGAGATCCTCATTTCAAGGTAAGTCAAGAGCTGAGCTCACTTTGATCTTTCTTTCAAGTTGCTTGCTTTTTGTGTACTCTTTCTGACTTGACTCTTTCCTTCCAATTTTGTTCATGAAAGACCTGGGGTGGTGAATGGTATGACTACCACGGCATCTGTGACTTGGTCTTGCTCAAGTTGGAAGACTTTAATGATGGCCAAGGCATGGACATTATCATCCGAACTGCCGCTCGGGGCGAGTTCTCCTTCATTGAGACGGCTGCCATCCGCATTGGATCTGACATTCTGGAAGTCACCGGGTGGGGTGCTTACGCTGTCAATGGTGTAGAATATGCTCATTTGCCCATTCAACTGGGCGGATTCAAGTTTGACAAGCACTGGGACAGCGAGAAGAAGCGTGTCTACAAGGTTTTCTTGGATGGAGCCGAACATATCAAGATCAGCACCTTCAAGGACTTGGTCAGTGTCAAGGTGGAGAATGCCACCAAGACCACCTTTGGAAGCTCCCAGGGTCTCATGGGATCCTACGATGGAGGTGTCTGGTTGGGTCGTGACAGAAAGACTGTTCTCAAGGATGCGAATGAGTTTGGAGAGGAATGGCAAGCTACTTCTGAGGAAGGTACCGTCTTCCAAACAGACCGATTCCCTCAACACCCACAAAAATGCTTCTTGCCCCAGGCAACCAAGACAGGACGTCGCCTTGGAGAGGCTGTCATCTCTGAAGCTCAGGCAACCGCAGCCTGCAAAAACTGGGATGACGAACATAGGGACTTGTGTGTCTATGATGTCATGGCATTGGGCGACTTGGAGTTGGCAGAAGCTGGAGCCTATTAAGCAAAGCAAGGCAGGGTAGAGCCTGTTTATTCTTTTAGCATAAGTTTTAAATATGCATGCACATATATCATACCAGACCAAACCAGACCAAACACTACCGCCGCTAGCTAGCCGGAAGCTACAGTAGTTTACATGGATCAAACTGCTGGTAGTTTCACGAGATGCTTCGAGGTGCTTCGGTCGCCATGTAGTCTAGGTGAACAAGTTGAACTCGGTCAGACTATCCGCACCATCAGTGTTTGCAATTCTGGCCAATATATTTGGTGGCCTGGCTTGGTTCACCATTATGTTTTCCGCCTGTTTCCCCATGGACAATGCCAGACTGAAGGGTTTGAGTTGCCAGCGACTTCACCCTCAAGGCGTACATTTGCCAAGCTTTTATTATGTTTCTCATTATGTCCAGTATCAGACGCTCGCTCGCTGAGCTATAGAATCGCACAACCCGGATCTTCATGGCGATATTCTCCATTGTGTTCGGGTCGATAGTGAGGTAGCTTGTTACGGTCCACAAACTCCATCCAACGGAAATACTCAATTCGTTCTCCTCCTTCAACAGAAGGGACATGTTCCTGTGTGTGACAAAGGAACAATGCAACTCCTTTGTCTTGAAACAGGGGGCGATAGTGTTGAATGACTTCTCTGAGTTTCCCAATGTCCCACCTCCCCAAGAATCCTCCAACTCCTTCATGGATGCAATCCTGAATGAGACGTTCATATTCTTCTTGTAAACCTTTTTCGCGGATCATGATTTCCACATGTTTGGGGGTTTGCTTGACGAGCCTGCCTCTTTTGCCAAAGAGAGCCTGACGAAACTCTTCCACTGCCACACCCTTTTGAAACTTGATTGTGGAAAGGGCAGTTTTTAGTTTGGGACCGGCCGTGTTCTTGAAATTATAGGGGGAGATGTAAGTGATCGCACCAGAGTCCACAAATTCGATCCAGCGGTAAAGATTGCACCTGTAATCTGCCACACACACCACAACTTTCACACCGCACTTGGAAAAACGAGGGCGGAACCTCTCGACAATGGTGTCGATTGCCTTCAACTTCAAAACACCGAGACGATCGCGCGTATTCTCGTCAGCGGAAATTTCATCCATCATATCATGGTACGCTGTCACGGCGCCTTTGCGGTTCATGAGATCAAAGACTTCACGTGGACAATTGCTGTCTTGGAACCGTTTGCAGGGACCCGAATGCAGTGGCTCTGCGACCACGCCTCGGGGAGGACAGTGAATGTTACCCAAGAATTTTGCTTTCAACATTTTCTTTGTTACTGTACTTCTTTCTATGGGCAGGCAAGGCTGCTTCTTTCGATGGATGGATTGGGGTTCTGGTTCATATCTTCAATCGTTTGCTGTAGGGTCCAGGTTAGTGAGTTCGGTCTGCCCTTGTCTGTCCACCCTGTTTTGTTCGCCTGGTGGCCTTCTCCGGTCACACGATGCTTGCTGGATCAATTCCAAAAGAAGTTGCTCGGCTTGACGCCGGGACGCATCCTTGGTGATTCCCATTGGGCTGGCGGCGACGGTTCTACTTGCAAAGCTTCTTCTTAGAGAACCCACGCTGCCTGCCAACGGGGCATAGTACGGCACGGCACGCTGTACGACTGTACCGGTACAGGGAGAAGCCTTGCCACCACAAGTAAAGAGTTTGGGGGCAGGAGAGTGCTAGTAAATGTGGCAACAACAACCCCCGTCAGCACAGAAGAAGAGGAACGGGATGGGGTTTGCAGTTGAACGCTTTGTTGTTTCGGTTAGCGCCTATTAGTCCATGGGTGTGACAATGCCTTTGTAGTCCAGCAGCGCAATCAATTCTTTGCACGCATCAATCATTGCGGAGCTGAGGTGTGTAAGTTGACGACACCAAGCAATTTGTGAGGAAGCTCTCATTATTTTGGATCGGAGTGCGTGACGCGAAGGAGCACCGCGCACCTTCCCGGACGATTGAAGTCGAATTCGGAAGCAATGCTTTTTTACGCGACCGTTCCATCACCTCTACTAGTACAACAAACGCACACACCAAGCTAGTAGACAACAAGAGAAAGCTTGCTTGCATGCAGTAGAGGAGAACCCTTTATTGTGTGAGACTGCTGGCTACTATCTTTCGTTTGTTATATGAATCATTAAACACACAAGCTGACTACGTTACGTTAAATTCAATCCAGAAGATGAAGGAGTCGACAACAGTTCACCATTGCAATCAGCAGAAGGGTAACATCTTGGGTATCTTCTCATTACTTTTTTTATTTGGGAACACCCCACTTGCGAAAGCCCAATCGTTTTTGACTCCATCTCCCACTCCCAACAATGTGGTCAATGTGACGACTAGGGATTGCAGTGCATCCAGTGGCAGTTGCGTGGAGTGTGTCAGTGCCAATTGCGCCTGGGCCATTGGATTATGTCAGGATTCCTGTGATGGATTTCCCTTGGATTGCTACTCTTTGGACTCTACTACTGTTCCCAACAACAATTTTCCCACGGCGCAGTCGGTCTGTGATTTGCAACAATTACAAGCCCAAGATGCCGCCTTTTGTGGAGTTCAAACCACCTGCGAAGCTTGCACGTCCACCACACTCAAGGCACCCTCTGCTGGTAGCAGTAGTGCAGTGGAACGACAAGATTCCCCAACCACGTGTTCCTGGTACGATGTAAAAGAAACCTGTTCTCATTTGGCAGAAGATGACAGTGGCAAGAGCAGTCCTTATTGTCGTTCCACTTCGGAAGGACTATGCTACTATGGCGCCAACAACTGCAACGATTGCCTGGACTTGGGCTTCTGCAGTTGGACCGGGGATGGCACTTGTGAACTCAATTGTCTACCAGGACAAGAATGTTTCAGCAATACACAAGCATCGGCTTCGTCGAATAGTGACATTTGTACCACGGCAGAAGCCTTTCAAGCGGATCTGGAGCTCTGTCGAGAACAAGCCGATTGTGCATCTTGTGCGGCTACCAGTGTGTCATCCGGTGGTTCTTGTGATTGGTTTTACAACAATGCTACTTGGACGGGATCCTGTGGAGTGTCACTGAGTACTGATGATGATAACGATTGCGATGCTACCACTGGTGTTGGTTGTCCCGTGGATTCCTGTGCCGATGTGCCCAGTACCGACCAATGCGAAGCATTGGCCACACTGTCACCCGAGGATATTACCTGCAATGCCTGTTTGCAATCCGATTGTGGTTGGGTGGAAGAAAGCAGTCGTTGCCTACCGAGTTGCGACTTCATTCAGGATGATTCCCATTGTGTCGTTCGCAGTCCCACTGATACCAGTGCCAATATCTGTACCCAGGCGGAAAATCATGTCGAAGATGCCGGCATTTGTAACACTCAAACCGATTGTGCTTCCTGTATTGTCCAACTCAAGAGCGATCGACGATCCAATTGTCAATGGTACAGTGGTGGGTCGGCTATTGCCTATTGTGGTCCCGGAGGTTCCTGCGATTCTCAGGGAGCGTGTCCCAGTGCGACCTGCGATTTCTCTTCTGGTAGCGCCAACAGTGGCTTTTGCGGGGCCGCATCCACCGATTGTCTCACGTGTCTGGGCAATGCCGGGTGTGTTTGGATTGACGGTACCTGTCGGGGATCGTGTACGGAAGTGCCCACTTCCAACACTTGCTTTTCGGATACCAATCCGGCGTATACCGGAGCCAGTGACTTTTTCATTTGCAATGAGGCAGGAACCAGTAGCGATCGAGATGTTACCACAGACGATACGGACAGTGCTGGAAGAAGAATGACAGCGTCCGTAATGGCAGTGGTTTTGCTCGTATCCGTATCACTGCTATGGTGATGGTGATGGTGACGATCATGGATTGGGCAAACGCAAAACAATAAACAAGAGGATGCGAATGTGACACCAAGGAGATATGCAACAACCGCCCATGATAAAGCTATGCCGTAGTATTGCGGTTTGTGGTAGTAAAGTAATCAGTGCAGAAGTAGTATTTGTTGCATGGGAATTCGTTTCATCTGATGCGTTCAGAGATGGAAGAGAAGTACGTAAACATTCCAAGTTGCTTTGCGACACTGCAGATTGCGCGTTAGCTTCATAAACAGCATTCGTGATTCCTCTAGTACTGTACTCGTGTGTAGCCATCTGCCCCCGAGAAGGGCCCTTGATAGAGCACGGTAATGTTCTGTAGTTCCGCATCCGTTCAAACTGCAGAACAGTTTCGATCAATGATACTTTTAGCAAGGACGAAGTGAACGGAAGTTTGTCACCATCGTGGAACCTCCGGTTGAAAGCACTGTGTACCGGTAAGGGGTTGGGAATCATCTTCCTTAGGCACGCTCAACCTGTACCGGTACTTACGAGTAGGACGAGATTGCATCAAATGCAATGGTGCATCGCCACGATGAAGGCTATGGACGTACCGGTACCGTACTGACCGGTACCGGTGCATGTTTCGGAAATGACACGTCCAAACCCAAAGAACCCCCGTGGAATCTCCGAATCGAATGAATGTGGACGTGGTTTGCCTCGAACTGTACTGTACTACACTAAACAATGAACTAACTGAAGGCGCAAACAATTCAAGCTCACAAATCAAAACCACAATAAGTCCTGCGCACATATCTCGACTTCGTAAAGTCACAGCACTGGACAAATGATGAGCACTCGCCGAAGCACCGATGAACTTCTCGGCCTCAAGGTGTCTTTTCCCGATGACAGGTCGCGGTTTCAGGGCCACCCAATCGCGTACCAGGACGAGATAAATCCCCGTTACCTACGAAAGGGCGACTATTGCCTTCTTGCTGGCTTTCCCTGCCGAATCACGGTTCTTCATCGAAGCCCCCCTGGGAAGATGGGTCATGTTCAGCATTTGGCTCGTGGGATTGGGCTGCTGGATCAGCGCGAGCACGAGGATTGCTTCTCCCCGATTCCGCATGTCGTCGTCCCTTCTAGGGTGCCAACGGAACATTTTGAGGCACACGGACCCCCCACCGTATCGACCGTATCTTGGATAGACCGTCAGCGTCAACCCGAAGGGGACGGCTTCTTCGTTCTTACGATCACGGTATTCAACCAGACCAGCAACGAAACGGAGACGACAGTCTGGACCATCAGGGACTATAAGCATTGTTTTAAATTCCTTACCCTTGAACGAAATGCCTTCCGCCTTCGGGAGACCAACAAGAACAGTTTTCTGGCTTTTTTGGGCGCTACGACTAGACAGGAGAGCCCCGGTGCAATCCTTGGCAACTTGGATGTCCAGAATGTTCTCAAAGAGATCTTTTACTGCGTTTGTGGTGAGGCCAAGTACAAGCAGGCGGAGAATGACGGAGAGCGCATCCTTGATGACGCCTAACGAACTGGCTGGATCAGTCAAGAGTGAGTACTGGTAATGACCTGGCTACTCTTTCAGCCCTCGAAACGGTGACAACCTTTGATCGTAAGCCATGAGCCAATTGGAAGTATTGCAGTTGTTTGATAGAAGTCAAGAGGGATATAGATGATATTGGTACAAAAGTTAAGATTGTGCTTGGCTTGCTGCGGGTGCCTGTTCTGGCTCTAGCTAGCTAGCAAGATAGTTTGGCGCTCTTGAAGGAGGGCTTTCCGTCCTAGCGAAACGCAAAACTTTCCAGTTGTATACGATTGACACAAAAGAATTCCGATACAGGGACTCGAACCCTGGTATCCTGCGTGAAAGGCAAGTATGCTAACCACCTACATCATATCGGAACAGCTGCTAATTTGCTGCTGAATATAGGAACGAAATAAGCGTTTGTGTACTCAAACACCATTTCTTTGAACCCTTTGCAACCCTGGGCTTGGGTACAGTACTTGGTACCTGTAGTAGACAATGTCAAAAAGAGTTGTCTTGAAGACATTGCACACAGTAGCCAATGACAAATCTTTGGGTTAAAGCCTACTAGCTAGCTACTGGTAGAAAGCAAGTAGCTCCAAACTCCAACTTCTGACAATCTAACTGTGAAGAACAGAATCTTTCAAAACAACCATACATTCTGAATGCCTCCATGCTTCTTTGGACACTAGATCAGTTAGTTGTACGGGTGGCTGAGTCGCTGAGCCTTTACTATCACTGCAAGCTGTGGCATTTACCGGTATTTGGTGTCATTTTTCTCGTTCAGCTGCCTTTCTCATTTAGTCACGAGTAATTCCAGCCCCGGTATCTTTGTTGGGTTTCTTGATGGCTCATTCGGTGGCCCCACAAGATGATGACGAGGTGCCGCAGTTTGAAGCTTGTTGTGTGGTGGATCCTGTCCTTCTTGTTGTCTTGTGCACATGGATCCTTCCTTCATTATCATGGCAAGAGAGGGTTTTGGTTATTTCCTGCTCGCAGCCGTGGTATCCTCCACCATCCAAGTGCTTGTGGCATAACACAATTGTCAGCGGGTGTGGATGTAGTAGACTCTGGCATGGTACTATCATCTGCTGCCGAAGATTCGGCTGTGGACGCTCTGAGCACTCAGGATATTGGAGTGGGGATCATTCTGGCGGTCTTATTGGCCGCCTTGGCAGTTTTTCTGCAAGAACAATCGAGATCGTCGTTTCCCAATATGGTCTTGTGGGCAACAAGAGACAGTACTGATAATGGCACTCCAAAAGATGCCTTTATGGAGGCGGATGATGATGATGCAGAGACTATTATAAGTCTGTCCAGTAATAATGCCACGGCTGGAGTGGAGAATGCAACCAACAACAGCAACACTACCAGCGGTAACATTGTCTTTAATGGGACCAACTGGAGCGAGATGAGTCGTCCCGAAAACTACATTTGGTATTCCAGGTCTATCACGGACAACGACAGCAAAAAGTCCACACGGCAATCCATGTCCTGGGACAACCGAATAGCCTTGTGGGCGCTCGTGGCGCTCTTTGTTCCCATTTTTGGAGTGGAACTCTTCTTGGCATTGAGTCGACAATTTGTGTGCGAGAGCGGCAGCAGTGGTAGTTTGGCGTGGGCACAAGACTTTTGTGCTCCCATTTATGATGCATACAAGGGACCATCATGAAATGAAACAAGGATCAGGGCGAATACATCCAATTGACTGGAACAACTTTGATGGAATAGTGCAACGCCACCATTTCCACTCGACTCGACTCACTCCATCAGACTGCCA